GTTTGGTAATTTATTATAGCAGTAATCAGAAGCTGATATAGTGTCTGTGATGGTTAGCATCTGTAATGAGTAACAAGAGCACTTCACTAAGGGGCTTGTCAGTTCGTAACCACTATTGTATTGGAGATGTGAATAGCCACTTCCCTTTCTAGAAATGAACAAATACGGTGTCACTGAGAGCTGCTCTAGAGAAAATTAGCATTTTTTCAGTCCTTTGTGTTCATTTGTTTCTCCCACCCCACTACCTCGTATCCCTCATTTTTGGACTCCTTTTGATTACTTCTTCTTAGGACTCTAAGCACTCATTCTCTTGGCCAAGGATTACTTTGACTCAGTGAATATTATCTGTTGAAGTGTGTTTAAACAAATATTACTTGGGGTTAGCATAGCAAGTGGGTCTCAAAGGGCACAATGTGTTTCCGTTCCCCACTGTCTACTCATAACAGCTTTCCAGGGCCCACCCAGTTCTTCCTTAGCCCTCAACAAAAATCTCAGGCAGGCTCAGAAAATTTCTTCAGTTACTTGTACGTGTGTGATCAGAATCTATAATCTGAAATAAAACGTTCAGTTGCCATGTAACAATTTAAGCTACCAACTCCACAAAGATCCTTTGCCCTGGTTTCTAGCCTCAGAAGAGTACAGTCAGTTAAGGAGCCTTCTCCAACATTGGCCTCTAGCTTTGACTCCTTCCACGTTGAAAAGAAGTCAGGACAGTGAGGCAAAAGGCAGGAACGTACTCTCTTGATTGGCATCCATGTCATTTGACCTGGCAGTTGGTTTTCTCTATCCATGGGAAATAATGAAGCCTGACTTTTCCCTTGTGGGCATGTTTGAGGATCCCTGGGAGAATTCTCCATTGGGTTGCTACAACTGCAGTTGACTCAAACAGAACTCAAGGCAGGCTCATCCTACGCTTCTTAGTTGAACAAGTTTCTAATAAGACCTGTTGGCCTGGAAGAAGCTCAGATGAGCAAGAAGCCTTCTTGAAATGACTGCAGGGCACCATTTCTACTGTGTCTTCCAGATGTTGTCCCCTGGAATTTCATGCTTTGAGCCTGTTTCTGTGGAAGGAGAGAGGTTTCACAAATGTTGTCTGCTCTTTGGACATATGCTGCTTCTGCTGGCCTTTACCTGCTGCCATATTTTTTTAAATTTAAGCTATGTGTCAGGCAGAGCAATATCAGAGTGGTAGGGCATTTGCCTTGCGCGTGGCCAGCCTGGCCGAGCCAGGTTCAATTCCTCCACCCCTCTTGGAGAGCCCAGCAAGCTACTGAGAGTATCTCGCCCATACAGCAAAGCCTGCCAAGCTACCCATGACGTATTCAATATGCCAAACACAGTAACAAGTCTCACAATGGAGATGTTACTGGGCCCGCTCGAGCAAATCTATGAACAACAGGAGTACAGTGCTATAGTGCTAAGCTATGCATCAGACTCCAAAGAAGATAGGGGCGATGGGTCTCAAATTCTGGTTTTCAGTAACTTGGTTGAAATCCTGGCAGCACCCTGCTTTGCTGTATGGCAGTGATTGACATCTATTGGCATGAAGCTTCAGTTGAATCTGTCTCAATCATCTTAGCAGCCTGTAGCCTATGAACACAGACAGTTTTGATCTTTTTACTCTCCTACAACTGAGTTAGGAATCCTAAGGGACACAATTCACCATGAACTTAATTCTTCTTGTCTGGCAGGTGATAATTAAGTACTTATAGGTAAAAAACAAGCCCGTTCCTAGAACTGATGATAGATATTATACACAGACATTTTACATCAATCATCATATGTCTTAACTGCATGGTGAACAAGCAGTCCTCAGGAACGGTGGAACCAGGACTGCTTAGAGAGCACTGGTATCTGTGACCTTTCCTCCATTTGGTGGGGGTGGGTGTTGGGAGCCACAACCAACAGTGCTCCAGGCTTACTTCTGGCTCTGTGCACACAGAGGGATCTCACCTGGGTGTGGGATGTCAGGAATTGAACCCAGGTCAGTCACATGCAAGACAAGTGCCCAACCTGCTGTACTATCACCTACCTCCCCCCTTTGCTTTGTGAAATATTAATATTGGTATCTCAGCCAATTTTTAGACATTTTTAATATCATAGTTTAATTATAATATGGAAAACCCCATTCAAAAAGTAGGGAAAGGAAGTGAACACATCCATCCTCAAAGAAGACATAAAAATGGCAAAGAGGCAGATGAAAAAGTACTCATCATTACCTATCACCAGGGAAATGTCAATTGAGTGACAATGAGAGATCATTTCCCCCCTGTGGGAATGGCCTACCTACAACAAAAAGACCTGAAAGTGTTGGTGGGAATGTGGTGTAAGTGGACCTCTCTTCACTGATGGTGAGAATATTGTCTCATTCACACTGTGGAAAACAGTATGGAGCCTTCTTAAAAAGTAAGAGTATGTAAGGTTTCCTCTCATTCAGCCTTCTTTGGGACTTGGCTCCCAACTATCCTCATCTGTGTCTCTTAGTTCTGATTCTGTAGAGAGAAACTCTGAGCTTATTCAGGTACTCAGGTCCAATCAGCTGTGCTCAAAGCATGTGGTCCAAGGATCCAGCACCTGCTCCAGAGGGTTCTGGAAGCAGACTGGGCAGAGTACACTGGAAGGTCAGTTTGCTTAGCTGCCACACTCACAAATGCTCTCCTTCCCTTGTAATATGATGAATGTTTCTTATTTTCTATGAACAAGAAAACTTTATTGAGTGGTAAAAAGCCATACTTTACCTCTGTTTGTTTCTTTCTACATATCTGTTCTTCTTAAGGAGCAATCCACATGGTAAATAGAGAACCCAGTGTTCAACCCACCCAGGGCAAGGGAGTTGGTGTGGTAGGATTGTTGGGAGGCTGTTTCTTCATGGTCTTGGTGACCATGTGAGATTTCCAAGACTCTCTTAAACAGTTTGTAAGTTTGCTGACATAGGAGGAACCCAACTTTCCTCATACTTCATCAAGATTTGTTTAAAAAAACCCACAGGTTCAGAGAATTGAATTATCAAAGTCATCAATTCATGGTACAAATAGTTATCATCGTAGAACTATGCAAGACCCTGCTCTGGCTTGATTTGGTCATGCTCTTATTTTCTTCCATCCCCCAAAGAGAAAATTTTTCAATATGTCTAATGTGTATCCTGACATTTTTGTTGCATTCTTCTGAACATGTGTTGTGGTTTCATGCACACATTGTGTGAATATTTGTAAATGTATTGCATTATATATATATATATATATATATTTGTTTGTTTGTTTGTTTGGGGAACCATACCTGGTTGTGCTCAGGGTTTACTTCTTGATCTGTGCTCAGGAATCTCTTCTGGCAGGGCTGGGGTCTATGTGTGGTGCCAAAGATCAAACCCAAGATGGCTTCGTGCAAGGCAACTGCCTTACTGCACTATTTCTCCGACACCTATATTATATATTTTATCCTGTCTCTTGCACTGCTTTAATGTTCATCCTCATCATTACACATAAGGAAACTACTGATTCTTCCTTCCACAATGCAAAGCCGCACATTCACAAAGTCACTTTCCTGGCAATAGACACCGCACCGTCTCCACACCTTTTGTTGTGGGCAGTATCCTCGGGTACATTCCCTTTAAAAAGGCTAGTGCCGGTATCCATCAATGATAGAAACCAGAGTGGTATGGGTGGGTCATAGTGTTTGTGACACTGAAATTTGTTAACTCTTGCCAGATTGCTGCTGCCCTCAACCACTACACACCAGCCATACAGGATGGTTTAGCTCCTCCTCTGAATTCTCATTGGGTCACATGGCCACTCTGTTATTCCATATTACAATACTATTCCCTCCAGTTTGGGTGGGGGTTCCCTGCCAAGCCTCAGCAACTGGCTTGTGAGAGAAGATGGGCCACCATCAACAGTCAACTGCCACGACCCCCCCCACTAGCACCATCCAGAACCTTCTGCTTCTTCCTTTCCCTGTACCACTGATATCTCTCCTTCCCTAGCCCACTCCTTACCTCAGGGCCTACCCCCACCACCACTGAGACCAATCACAAAACAGGGGACGATCCTGTGACATGAACAGGCCAAGTCACCAAACAGAGCCACATACATGATTTGTACTAGCCTCATCAAGAGAGCAGCCCTGCAAGCGACCCACATCCTTTATTCATTTGGGCAATGAATCTTTGAGGCAGGTAATTAATTACAACTTCGTGCATAAAAGTCAGCCTCTTTCAGTAATGTGCTAACTGACCTTTCTCTTTCTTATTCATGATTTTAAAAAAAAAAGAAAGGAATGGAGGAAGAAAAACGATTGCAACCTATATGATTTCTCCCCCAAGGGCTTGGGTTCTTTGAAAGGTTTGGGTTCCTTGGTGCAAAATAGATAAACCATTATAATATATTGCTCTGCTTTCAGCTACAACTTGTTGCCTATTGTGATCAGCATTTCCCGTGAGGGCCTGTCTGAAGCAATTAACAAGGTCCTATCGTAGATATAACCATGTACTTAGCCTACCGGGGGCCTGTTTTAACATAAAAACTGACAATGTCATTTCTCTGTCATAATGCTGAGCTGAGATAATAATGGTCCATGTGTTGGTAACTTAAAAACAAAACAAAACAAACAGTCCTTTTACAGACATCTGTAAACAGCTAAAATATATAATAAAGTCAGGATGGGGGGAATCATCCCAGAAAATTGAAAAAAAAAGAACCAAAGATACTGTTTGATGAGGGAATCTTCTAAAACATCCCCTTTTATTGTGTTCAGCAGCATAGGTAAAACCACACAGTGTAAGCCACATGGCCAGATCTCGGCTGGTTGGTTGTTCCTCTGCTGTAGGCTGAGTTTGGTTTTTCTCTGTGGTCTGAAAGCATAGTTCCGAGCTTTTGATTTACTCTTCCCAGGAAGTTCAAGAAATAGTCACCAAGCCATCACACCTTTCATCTCAAAAGAATGTTATCGTGGTTAGGGTCCAGGTTCTGTGTATTTCATGAATCTTTGTTTTTTCTTTCTTCCAGAAGCTGCAAGGAATCGATACTCCTCACTGTCATTCAGCCTTACCCTGTAAGTGTCCAGTGCCTGGCCCTGATCTCTGACTTCCGGTTTCCTCCTGCTACAAGGAAACAGAGATGAATAACAGCAGAGAAAAAATAGCCTGCACTACAGTACAAGTTTAAAACGCGCAATTAGTTGTATCTTTTCCTCTGTAAAAGCAGACACACGTATTAGACAGAAAAGAAGTAGTTCAGTTTCTAAATAGCATCAAAATCCATGGTTCCGTCTTCTGTGACTCACATTTGGAAATGACACAAAAGTCCACGTTTTTTAAATCACAAGCTGGGAGCCCAGGGATGTAACTCAGTGGAAGCTGCCTGCCTCCCTGTGCCAGGCCTTAGATTTTAGCTCCCAGCACTGCAGAAACCAAAAGACTCATAAGCCCCGTGGAAATAGCTCATTATGTGAGGGTGAAACATAATTGTATTCTTCTCCCTATCTCAGTAATTTAGTAGAAGACTGGACATTTCAGAGAGACCTATGACAGGTAGTTATTGGAAAAGATCTAGCCATCAGAATTTAATTTAAGCAGCCTTGGTCAGGAGGGTGTATTGATTAAAATCCTACCAACTTCAATCCCAGGATTCCTAAAACCACTATATCATCATATAATTTGCATGCCATAAAACTCACCCATTCTAAGCCTGAAATTCAGCGATCTTTCAAAAATACCCCGAGTTGTGCGTCCTTCCCTGCAATCCAGTCTGAGAAGACTTCTACCACGTCTGTTAACATCATCCCTTCCTAATCCAGTCCAAAGTAGCAAAGAAAACACCATGGAGAGAGGAGACTGCAAATTTTTACTTACATAGTTGAATCTGGATTTTCCTATAAGCAAGTTGCTTTTGGAGAAATTATTGGGTTTCCTTTCTTTGCTAATTACACTCTTGGCAATTAGATTGACACAGAAATAGATGACCCACCAGACCAAAAGAAAATCCATAAATTCCAGTTTTATTAGATAATTAAAATGAGCTTTTAAATTTATTTGCAGTGTACCAGCCAGCACTTTTTGGTAGTATTTATTTTGCATAATATAGTCTGACAAAAAGACAAAAACACACTGTTTAGGTCTTCTTGGATACTCTGTGTACCTACCCCCAACCCAGAATGACCTTCTCTGATGAGACACGTGTTAAGGGCCCTTTGGAGGACAATCTAAGGACCCTGAAATTCTTTGATAAGAAAGAATTTTTTTTCAGAAAAGAAAGAATTCTCTCTCTCTCTTTTTTGCTTTTTGGGTCACACCCGGTGATGCACAGGGGTTACCCTGGCTCTGCACTCAGGAAGTACTCCTGGCGGTGCTCAGGGGACCATATGGGACACTGGGATTCGAACCCAGGTTGGCTGCGTGCAAGGCAAACGCCCTACCCACTGTGCTATCGCTCCAGCCCCAAAGAAAGAATTCTTGATAAGCTGCAGCCTTGATATTTTTTTCACAAATTAAATATTTTACTAATCTATTTTCTTTTTTTAAATTTTTATTAGTGAAACACCATGAGGTACAGTTGTAGACTTAAAAATTTTTGTGCTTGGATTTCAGTTATACAATGATCGAGTACCCATCCCTCCACCAGTGCCCATTCTACACCACCAATGATCCCAGTATCCCTCCCACCCTCCTTCTCCCCCCCATCCTACCTCACCCCTGTGGCAGGGCATTCCCTTTTGTTCTCTCTCTCCTTTTGGGTGCTGTGGTTTGCAAAAGAGGCATTGAGTGGCAATCATATTAGGTCTATAGTCTACTTTTAGCATGCATCTCCCATCCTGGGAGGATGATTATTTATTTATCTCCTTCCACCATTTTTCTTTTTAGAAAAATGAGTGGTGGACCTATAGAAGGAAGTACAAAATCAGAAAAATATATGTCAGCAAACTTTTCTTCAGAGATAACCAGTGTAAACATTCAGCCCATTTCGTCCCAGTGTTTTATTTTCTGCCTTGTCAGTAGTTGAGACCATATTGCACATACACTCTTACTCTGCTTCCTTCACTTAGACTATCATAATTGTTTTCCTGTGCCATAAAGAATCCTTTATAAACATCACTTAAAGTGCTGTAAAACATGATATTAAGTCAAGATTTCTTAAGCTATCCCATATCATTGAGCTCTTGATACTAGCTTTAATGTTTTTCTGTTATAAATAATTCTGCAAAGCATAGTTTGGTGTATCAATTTTTAACCATATCTAGTAGTATTTCCTCAGGATGGATTTGTAGGAGGTTACTTATGAATTTTAGTGATTTTGCCTTAACACACTCTCTTTCCTTGTGCCATTATCTTTATAAACTAAATGTCTTTCTTGGCCAGCCCTTTTCATCTTCCCTCCTTCGGTTCTCAAGTCTAGACCTTCCAGAACTTTCAAGTCAACCTCAGCTTAGACAGAGTATTTTAAGAATTTTTTAACCTCCCTTCATGCAACACCAATTCAGTGGATGGCGAGTTAAGTCACTCTCAGAGGAGGTTGCACGTTCCTTAGTGCAGCAGAAGCTCTGGTGTGGCGATGTTGTTAGAGTCTAGACCATAGTCCCATGGCCCATGTCATGCTGAGAATTTCAGCAGAATTTATAACCGAGAACACAGACTGTATGCCTGTGTACTTTTAGTAGTCACAGGAACATGCTTACAGAGGAGGCAGGATGTGCTCAGGACTGATCAGTCTCAGATCAATGGCCTAATTGACAGTGAGAAAGATCCCCCAGCTTGCTCTCTTCCTTGGACAATCTAACAATGGGGCCTCAGGTCTGCCATGTTTTCCCATGATTCCTCTGGGCTGAGCTCCAGTTGTTTGTAGTGGTGCTAACTCACCTGCAAATGCTTTATTCGCTTACTCCTCCCCTTGTCTCCCTCCTCACCCCCCCTCACCTGCCTTTGCTTCACCTCCCAGGTCAACTACCTATTTGTATTTGTCTTCAGGTCTGCTTTGGGTAGGGTTTGAAGGAAAAGAGAGAATTCCCAGCTAATTCAACCAGTGATAGCTGCGAGCTAGTGTGTCCTTACCAGTACTTATCTTATGAGACACAGGTAGCACTGGAGAGCTAAAGACTGCAACTCCATACTATGTAGTGGTTAAGAAAAGATGAAATCAGGAAATTTACATACAAGTGGTACTACATGGAAAGTGTCATGATAAGCGAAATGAGTCAGAAAGAGAGGGATAGACATAGAAAGATTGCATTCATCTGGGGAACATAAAGCAACAAAATGGGAGACTAACACCCAAGAGTGGCCGAGATTAGTACCAGGAATTTTGCTCCATGGCTTGGAGGCCAGCCACATATGCTAGGGGAAAAGGGAGCTCAGATAGAGAAGGGAGCACCAAATAAAGGGTGTTGGGAGGATCCTCCCAGGATGAGAGAAGCATGCCGAAAGTAGACTATAGACCAAACATGATTGCCACTCAATGCCTCTTATGCAAAACACAACACCCAAAAGGAGAGAGAGAAAAGGGAATGCTCTTCCACAGACACAGGGTGTGATGGGGGGGTGGGAGGGATACTGGAACCCGTGGTAGTGGGAAATGGGCATGGTGGAGGGATGGATATTTGATCATTGTATAATTGAAACCGAAGCACAAAATTTGTAAGTCTACAACTGTACCTCATCGTGTCTCACTAATAAAAATTAAAAAAAAAAAGACTGAAACTCCAAGACTTCATGCTTGAGTTTCAGAAATGAATCCTACTGGATAATTTTTTTTCAAGCTATGTTCTGGTGACTTTTAAGAGCATCAGAAATCATCAGGCACATGTCACACGTCTATTGTGCCAACTTAGCAACAGTCAGTTTGGAGAGTGGTGCCGGAGTTGATTAGAGGATTTCTAATCTTAAAATTAACAGCAGAAGACTCTGATTATTCTAAATGATAATTAATTGTAATTTCCACCAAAGGATATGAAATGCTTGGAATCTGTACCTAAGTTCTGAAGGTTGTTAGGAATTAATTTCTCTGATTTGGGAGGATGTTTTATTATTTTTGAGCCAGAAAGGAATGTGTTCCAACTCAGTCCTGATTGCTTCCCATATCCTAGGTACCCGAAGTAACTACAGCCAGAGGAAGAAGTGATTGATTCTAATTTAGTAAGATTCAGGATTGGAGCGCTTATGTTTTTATTGTCAGGAAGTAATGGCGGGATTCAGACCACACCTGGCAGTATTCAGAGCTTACTCTGGCTCTGTGGTCAGGTGTCACTGCTGGTGATGTTTGGGGGACCTTGTGAAATGCCGGATTTCTATCCAAGGCCAGCATCATGCATAGCTAGAGCCTTTGTCCCTTATACTATACTTCCAACACCCAGAGTAATTTCTAAAATGTTTGTCCATTTTAGGAACTAGTGACAGATCTAGAGTAAGAAAAATGTACTTTTTTAAATTTTCAGTTAGACTTTTATCCCGTCCGTTGACTTCAAATTATGTCTAAAATAATATGTGCTTAACCTCCATGACTCTCTAGCTTCTGGCTTCCCAAGATTACCATGGTCACTGGGGCATGGTAAATCAATAAAGGAATGAGTTGAACCAGCTTTATGCAGCTGGTTTAGCTGCCTAAAGAAGAGAGAATCAGACCCAGAACTTGGCAGGTTCTGTTATATGTAGTTACTTAGGAGCAGATAATTTTATACATTTCCATGGGGACAGTCTTTTCCAAGTGAATGCTAAAAACTGCCCCCCTTTGGGAGCGTTAAAAAGATCAAGGGAATAGGGGATCAAGAGCATCGGGTACCATTGGGAGCTTCTGAGGAGGAGAGCACTGAGTAATTTCTTTTGAGAAGGAAGTAAGTCAATTAAGTTTGAGAGCACCAGCACATTCTAAGTTTATACATCAAATGATGTGAATCCAAAAATGTAGGTTTTGGGGGCTGGAGGAATAGCACAGCGGGAAGGGCGTTTGCCTTGCACGCAGCGCACCCGGGTTCGATTCCCAACATCCCATATGGTCCCCCAAGCACCGCTAGAAATTACTTCTGAGTGCAGGATCCAGAAGTAACCCCTGTGCATCACCGGGTGTGCACCAAAAAGCAAAAAAAAAAAAAGTTACTTTTTTTTATCAAGGCAAAGAATGAATTGTATAGAGCATTGTGGAAAGACATGGTAAAATATGACATTTAGAAATTCAGTTACATTGGGCCAGAGTGACACAGTACAGCAGATGGGGCACTTGCCTTGCTCACAACTGATCCGGGTTCAATCCCCAGCACCATGTGTTCCACCGAGCTGGTCAAGAGTATTCTTTGAGTGTAAAGCCGAGAGTAAGTCCTGACCGATGGATGTGACCCCAAAACCAAACAAAAGAAAAAGAAATCCAGATACATAGAATAAACCTCAGTAGCTGGTTCACTGAGTACAAGTAAAATCCTTCACCGCCAGCAGTGCCGGAGAAGCGGGCGCACCAGCGTTCAACTGTCTCGTCTAATTAGTAGTGTCTGTTCCCGGTAGCTTTATTACAGCCGCTTCACTTGTGTGAAGCTCATTGTGCCAATGTAAATATCGCCAGCTTAAGATCATTAAAGGAGAATAATGTTTTCCCTTCAGCTAAAAAAATGGCATATCAAAAGCAAATGAACTCACTGCTGTATGATTTGTTCGTTAATCATTCCTCATCTTGGCCCAGAATTAGAGATCCTGATGAAAACACCACGTCACATCAGTTTGGCTCTAAACAGCACATCAAGCATGTTCAAAGCTGTTGTGTTTTGAGGAGCAGCCTTTCAAACACTTCAGGGGGGTGGTGGTGATGTTATTTTGGAATCGTAAGAGGGCAGCCAATCTCTTGGAACGTCCTATGTCTGTGCAGGGACTTAAGTTCTGGAGGCGAAACCTTTGAAATGCCAGTTATCCTGTTCTTAAGGCCATAAAGGTCTACCATACCCCTGTTTTGGCATGGTTTTTCCAACTGTGATTTTTTTAGTATAGCAAAATACTCATAATTTACCTTTTTATATGTAAATGTTTGTTTTTAAGTTGTCTTAATATTATCTGCCCTGTTTTTCCTTCCTCCCTTAGTAACCTCAGTTTTGTTCTCATAATTTCAAAGTACAGTTCTGGAACATCAAATACATCTACAAGTTTGTGCAAACATTACAACTATCTCATTAAAAAAACTTCTTCATCTTCCCAAAAGGATGCCTGTTATCCATAAAGTGGTTATGAATTTGTCTATTCTTGACATTTCATCTAAATGGAATCAAGTAATACGGGACACTTTGTGTCTAGTTTCTTTCATTCAATATGTTTTCAAGTTTCATCTATGTTGCCACGTGTATCAGAATTCCATTACTTTTTATGATTGAAGCTAACCCATTGTATGGGCATAGCACATCTTGTGGATCCCAATGAATTATTCTTTAATTGATCTGAAGTATATTTTTTATAAGAATGGGAATTCTTTTCATTTTATTCGAAATTCAAAGTATGGAATACCTGAGTTGGCTTCTGTGCCTTGAAATTAATGGAATAAAGGTGGAGCCTTTGTGTTGAATAGAAAATTAGTTACTAGAATTTACTATACAGCAGCCTCAATCTCTTAAATAGTAAAAAAAAAACATTAAATTGAACCATATGCAACTGCTAATAATTGATTCCTGAATGCCTAAAATAATATATGATCCAAATAAAATATTTGCTTCTATATTGTGTTCAACAGAAAATGCCTTTCTTTTGAAAATGAACAAATGATATCTGCAACATAGTAGTTACCTACTCAATCTAATCATCCTACCTTCCTAGGGCTGCATGAAAATTATCGCACAAGCTTAATTCTCACATGAAGTAAAATTACCAAAATCATCCAGAAAAGGGTGCATGTCCCTGGATCTCAGTTTTCTAAGATTCAGTTTTCCCCGTTGTGTTTTCTAAGGAAAAAGAACCAAGTCACTCAGTCCCTCCTTCAAATAAGAGAGGATCTTAAAGTCCAAAGAAGCAGAATATAAAGTCATCTTTTAATAGTAAGCAAGGATCTCCCTCTACCCTTCCAAATAATATCACAGAGTCACAGATTACTAGCAAGTGTCTGAAACTCAGGTTTGGGGCACATAAGGTTATGGGTGCTTTCTTGCTTACAATCACATGTACGCATGTGTGTACTTATCTGCCCTCATGCCCATGTACCTTTAACGTGAGTAGCAATGGTAGCTAAATGGTATCTAAATCTAAAATGTTAGCGATCACTTTAGGACTATCAGTGGCTGTTGTCCATCTCATTAAAATGCTAAGTAATGGGCATTTTTTCCACTCTAGAGGAGCCCATGTTCTCTCTAGAGCATATATATCTCTGTCTCCCTCACCTCTCTCTAAATTTCTTCCATTAAAACTTTTTGCTTCACTAAAAATGCTAATTAATGATCAACTCATCATAAATGCAATGTTACATTTGGTCTCCTCTCACTTTCCACATTGTGCTCTAAGATCTTTAGTAAAAGCTGGGTTTCATCTTTTCATAATGATTATCTGAAAAGATCCTTAGGAGGCTGGGGCTATGACTCAACTCATAGACCACAGGCTATGCTTTTCGTCTCCAGGGCTGAGTGGTCTCCTGAGCACCACTGGTTGCTCCGGGTCTGGTGTGGTCTCACAACTGTCAAAACATAAAAGTCAGAGAGATAGCTTGATGGATTGAAATGCGTGATTTGCATCCAGAAGACTCGGGTTTGATCCCCAGCACTGCCAGGATCAATGATCATAGAGCCAGGATAGAGCCCCTGAGCACTGCTAGGGTAAACCCTCCCCAAAATGAAAAGAAGACTAAATTTTAAAATACAGTCAAACAGACATTTGGGGACATGCTTAATAAGAATATGGGCTATGTTCCTTTAGGTTCTGATCTAGTAGCTAAATCAAACTACTTTATGAGCTTGACAGAGAGGGTTTCAACTACATCCTTGTTTCATCTTGGCTAGGGCGCGCAGCCAACATTTTAGTTTTTAGCAAACTGTGGGTCAATGAGGATGGAAAACAATCATTATAAGATTTGCATTACACTGCCAATAATCAGCTCCAATGTTTTCTATTTTCTAGTCTCCTAAATCAGCATTTATTAGTGCTGCAAAGAAGGCAAGATTAAAGTCCAATCCAGTCAAAGTGCGCTTCTCCGAGGAGGTCATCATCAATGGCCAAGTGTCGGTGAGTTGAAAGTTACCTACATGTGGGTCAGAGTCAGTAAAGATAGTATCCCATAGGATGATTGGGCTGGAAATGGTTGTTGGATTTTAGAGAGATGCCAAATCTCAGGATTGTAAAGAACCCAGGAGATCACTAGGCTGTGCCTGAGTTCCTGCAACACCTCCAGAATCGTGGTGGTCCATTATTCCTTGAATCCTTTAGTGTTAGAGACCTGACTGCTTTGCACAGAAATTGGTTTGAAATCTCTAACACTGCCCTATATTGAGTAAAATATGCCTCTTTGACACCTTCTCCTCTTTTTTACCATTCTGCTGACAAGCATTCTTCCTTATCTGTTTCAATAAAGGCATTATGTTGTTTCCCCTGAGTTTCTTCTTATACCAAAAGACTCTATGCTTTCAAGTAATCAAAATGACAAAGAAGTTTAAATTATGGGAAAGTTTCCTATATTCAACCAGAAATGAAGAAATATTGCTCAGTCTCCATCAATAGGTCTTGATAGAAATCATGATTGCTCAAGCACATAACTAATCTTCAGAGTGAATAATACAAACATCAAGAGGATACTTTATTTTCAGGGTTTTTTTTATATGCGTGTGTGGGTATGGGTGTGTGGGTGTGTAGGTATGTGGGTGTGTGTCATTATGTTTTTATTTTTACAAAGCTATCATCTAGAACACTAATATTTGTGGACCTTTGAAAAACGCCAGACTTTCGTCACTTGGTTTTGAGTGTAGTTGTGGTTGTTGTTAATCTACTCGGAGGATAAGAGTCCTCCACAACATCCTTCTTACGGGTCACGAACTCTTTCCCCAGGGTGCCCCTGGTTATGATTGGAAGGTATATGCCTGAACGTCCTAGGCAAGACTCTTGTGTTCCGAGATCTACAAGCTCTAACCAGCTGACCTACTTCTTTCCCACTTGGAGTTTAGGGAATCAGCAGGTCAATCATCAAACCACTGTAATGCTTATATGTGAGGGACCAAAAGCTGTGCTGTGCTGTGAGCAGTTTCTCTTCCTGATCGTCCCTATCACCATCCCCACCCCAACCCTCCCCCCTTACATAGCATGGCCTGTTCTGCTCTCTTCTGTGGCTCCCATCCCTCAGAGGTCTTTATTCGTTGTGAGAAGCTCAAGGAGACTTCAGTTGGAGGAAGCACTGTATCCCAGAAGCTTATCTGAAGCTTCTTAAAGCTTATCCAAAGGCTTATCTTCTTTCTTTCTCAAGCTTCCAAGCATGAGATTGGGCCACTGGTCCCTACATATTTATACAGAAGATGAATCTAGAAGCTTCTGTGGAACTATCACTTCATCCCTGGGAAGAAAAAGGCTCTTGCAGGCATGGAATATGAGGAAGGGCTGATAGTTGCCCCTGTGGCAACATGGCTCCTTACAGTTCCTGGTGTGGGAAGGGACATTCAGGCCCACGAGACCCCTTCAGCCTTTTGTGGACAACTTCATCCCCTTACTTCTCTGTGCTTCCGACCCATTGGTGTTGTTTCTTGTGGATTCAGCAGGTCGATAAGCAGGAAAGTCATGTGGAATATACACTGGAGTAGGAAAGAGGGGAGGGAACTCAGGACAATTGGAAGTGAAAGGCACAGAGAGTGTTAGGGGAGCCTTTGGATGGGAATTTCTGGGACACAGTGTGACAGTAGCAAATCTCTGAGTACCATGCCATCAGTTTGCTCATCTGTCAAACAGTAGATGGTATCATGGTTACTGAGTTCCCCTTGAACCCTGTGACTTTCTGACCGACTACAAGTGAGTAACACAACTTACGCTAAGGATTCTCAAAACTCAATCATCAGGCCTTATTCCTGCCCCACTCCCTTCCTCTCTTCCTACTTCTGTTTTCTTCTGGTCATGTTTCCAGCCATCTCTGTTTGAAGTATTACTAAATTTTTGTTATTAGAGACTTAGAATTTACTCTTTTAGCACATGAACTCGTTCCCTCTTTTGTCATTCGTTAAATGGGTTAAAAACTCCCCTGTCAAACAAGTTTACCTATGAAAAATCATCAGTGCTTATGAGTCACTGTCATGGCCTTGTCAAGCACGGGGAGACTTCACAGCAAACAGCATCATCGCTGGTCTTCACTCTGCACTAGACATGCTGCTCTGCTAATCTGGGATAATGGTCCCCAACACTATAGCTTAGCTACAAGGAATTATTTCTATGATTGTGATTTGCAGTGGAAATTAAGACACTTAAGAACACTAACCTGATTGTTTCTGATAGGAAAATGTCTTTTATTGAAAACAAATGGGTTATTTGCAGCCAGAAAAGAAAAAAATTTCTGAGAATAAACAACTCACTTTCACCAAAGGGATACCTTGGGTGACTTTGAAGATTGTATTCTTATGCTATGATTTGAATAAGGTCTCACTGCAGAGACCAGAATTCTAGTTAAACTAATTTACACCGTCCCCTTTTTTTGGGTTAAACAGGAAACCGTTAAGGACAATTCACTTCTTTTTATGCCAAATGTTCTGAAAGTCTATCTGGAAAATGGGCAGACCAAATCATTTCGCTTTGACTGCAGCACCTCCATAAAGGTAAGAGAAGCCACTCCCCTCTGTCCCCAGAAACTGCCATGGACAGACAGTGTGAAAGTCTCCCTTCGGAGTCTGGTGTGATAGCTTAGAAATTTCTGTTTCTGAGATTTTGTTGTAGCTACTGAATAAAGTAACATGCGAATGCTTAGTAACAAAAGGCTTAAACTATGAAGGTTTTGTTGTGTATGCATGTGTGCACACGTGACAATATGCTATATGATATCAGGAAACATGAGGGTTCCTCATTTTTAATGCAACTACAGATTAATTAAAATAGCATAACTGTCACCCAAGAAGGCTTGGCACCCTGCCCAAAGCCAGCATGATTTCTCAGCAATGTCAGCCGCCAAGAAGATTAAGATGTTAGCTGTTAATTGAATATCTGCTACTTCGATGTCCAGCAAAAACAAGGGGAAGAATAATGTAAGGATAATGCGTACTTTTAATTGCTATAACCAGTTTAATGGAAACAACACATTAAAAGTCAGAAATGAAGCATATTTCTTAGGAGAAGGGGTGAAAACAAAGAGTCACATTGTGATCCTATTCTATCAGGACCACAGGTGAGATTTAATGATCTATAACAAATCATATGCCCCTCCCACATACACGCACGTGCACACAATCCTATGATTCCTTCCTGGGGAGAAAGTTGCATATTGTCTTTTTTTATTGGACAAAAGTATGCTCAGAAATTGATTGTTCCCTAATGTTCCATCAACCTAAAATAGACTTTCTTCATATGGCACAGTAAAAATGATTTTATTGAGGTTTTAAAAAGTACCTAGTGACAATCCACACAATAATATATCAAATGAAGATCAGCTCAGCGTTCAAAATGTCTAGCAATAGTCAACTACTAATTCTCGGGATTTTTAAAATCAGTTGTCATGAATCTTAGGAGTAGAAGTATTTCTCACTCATTGCGCGTTCTTATTGTCATGATGCCAGCAAACAGCTTGTTTTGAATTGCTTTAAATAGGTAGTGATTTAGCAGGTAATAGAGCAGACAATATTAGTAGATTAATGATGAAGCATCTAAATCATCCTTAAATCATTCCAGGTGAAATAATAACTTCCTTTGTACAAGACTGATGATTTTAAATGACTGAAAAAATTCCTTTTCCTTTATTCCTACTCAAAAATCAATTTCTAGTGAGATATTATTCTAAATATTGATAAACTAATCAGGAGCCAACAGACTTTCCAGAGAAGCTTCGAGAATAAATATTTGAGGCTTTGTGGATCATTTCATCTCTGTTACAACTCCTTGACTCTGTTGGGGTATCATGAAAGCAGTCTTAGATAAGTCTGAGAGGTCCTCAAGACCACTCTTAGATTCACTTGGAAACAAGGCTCTTCCTGAAAAATCCAAGTGAATTCTATTCAGTAAGTGACCCAGTCACTTGAGAATATATAATAATTTTTCAGCAAGTTATTATACTCACAGTTATAATTTACTGCAGTAAAAGGATTCAGATTAAACTCAACGACGGGCGGCAGGTATGTAGCCCAGTGATGGAGCCCTTGCCTTGATGTGTGAGGCCCTGGGTTCAGCCTCTAGCACCATAAAAATAAGTAAGTAAATAAATAAATGTTCGCGGGGCATAAGACTTGCTTTTGCCCTCTCTTGGTGGACTTATGCAGGCTGTCTTGCTCTCCTGGCACTGGTAGGCAACAGTTTGCAGCAAGTACTGCCCACTTGGGAAACTTACCAAGTCTTAGAGTTTTTATTGGAGGTTGATCTGAAAGACATATTGATAACCTGTGTGACTGACTTTTATCTCTAGCCCCTCCCAAAATCAATTGATACCAAATGTCCCAAGGTACTCACTCAAAATTACAATGTTAAAAAAAATCACATTGTTAGCATAGACTGCCTGGTGTGACCCAAGGTAGACAAAGTCACTCCAACCAGGGGGCTACTCTAATGGTTTAGAAGTCACCCAGGAGGGGCTGAAATGATAGCAAAGTGGATAGGGCTCTTACCTTGCACGAGGCCAACCTGGCTTCAATTCCCAGCATCCCATATGGTCCTCCAAGCACTGCCAGGAGTAATTCCTGTGCATCTCTGGGCATGACCCAAAAGCAAGAGAGAGAGAGAGAGAGAAATAGAGAGAGAGAGAGAGAGAGAGAGAGAGAGAGAGAGAGAGAGAGAGAGAGAAGTCACCCAAGAGCCAGGAATACAGAGTATCCAGAGTCAAATCTTTCTTTAGACAAAATTAATCCTTTAATAAACTGATATTATATAAATGAAAGGGCGTGACTAGAATTGATTCACTAATGTAACCCATAGAGTTGCATCATTATAGCTCCCCTGACACTATGACCTTGTTCTGTGATATCAAATGATCAGAAAAGCTTGCGGCCAGAGGGCACAAGCCCCCACCTGAAAATATAGACAAAGAAAATACAGGCTGTACATTTCTTAGCAGAAATAAATATAAATTTAGAAGACAGCCCTGTTGTGAATTCCCTCTGGCCTCTTTATTATAGGAACTCACACTAAACTAAGTCTGATTTCCCTGAGGATTGCAGAAGGCAATGAAAAGACAGGGAGCAATGCAGAGCTTGCAGCAATTTAAAGTTATCTTATCGTGTACCTAGCAGCCTTATTATCACAAGAGACACCGGCTGGTAGGTGAAAAATAGAAAGAGTATAGTTATAAAAGAAATATGACACTGTTTAATAAAACTTGCCTAAGTTCTTGCTGCAGAGTCACAATAGGGGAAAAACTATTAATACTGATTTTGCCACTGTCCTTTCTGGTGATTCAGGCAAATCTTTTCTAACGTGTGTGTTCCCACACAAAGGCTTGATTTTGTCTTCTCTCTTTGGGACCTTGAGCAAAAATTATGAAACAGAGAACTTTTTTTAAATGAAATTCAATAAAATCAAGGCATTTCTCCGAAGTGCTTTTTGGTGGTGGGTGGTATGTGGATCTTTATTTTAAACAGGTCTAAGGAAATTGAAATAGGCCTACGGAGAAGACTAAACACAAAAACACAAGGAAAACTCTTGAGCTGGGCGGGACTTCTTTATCTTCACACTATTGATACTCTAGACAAGATCATTCTCTGATTGGAGGCTCTTCTGTGCATTGCAATATACTTACCAGCGTCTCTTGATGCCAGTAGTTTCCATGACCCCATTTTGACAGCAGAATTGTCTCCAGAAATTGTCAAATGTTACTGTAAGGCAAAATTGCTCCAGGTTGAAAATCTCTGCTCTATGCAATTGTGTAGCATCTGGGCACCAATTGTCTTGAAGGAAGATCATTTACAAATTTCAAGTTCAGTAGTGGTTGAGGACATTCATTTTGCATACAGCCAACATGTTTGTGGCTGGAACACATTTTGGATCATAAGTATTTAATCCTTTGAAGGATTGCTAACAAGACTTGCGGGTTTTCTTTTTTAAATCTTCCCCAAGGATTTAAAATAAAAACTCACACACATATATTGCTCTAGTGCCCCAACTCTGTGTCAAATATGCTGTAATGAACGTTGTCCATGTATTAGTGCAGTCCTTATATTTCTTTGAAGGCAGATACATTATTATATCCACTCTATAGATAAGGAAACTAAGGTACTTAGAGGGTAAATCATTTGCCTTAAGGTTCGTAGTTGATGCAGAGCAGAACTGGGCTTGGAAGTCAGACTACTGCCACCTTCCTTTCTACTTCCACATGCACTTAAAGAAAAGTAGGCCAGGAAGCACCCTGCTTTTTCTCTCAAGGGGTAGAAAGCAAATTATTTAGGTTTTATGGGCCACTCAATGTCTATTATAACTCTGCTGATGGGGAGCAGAAAAGCGTCCTCAGACCACAAGTAGTAAGCTGGTATAACCAGTTAAAACAGGTTTGTAGAAAAGGACAGTGGCCTGGCTTGGCATGAAGCTGGCACCAGCTGACCCCTTGCAGAGAGGTAGTTTAACCATCACCTCTTCATTTATAAAAAAATAAGGGGGGGGGGGGGTACTGGTGCTGTGTGTTGCTGTCCTTACTAAGTCAAAACCGGATGTGGTAGGTGAGCCCTTTCTGCTGCCAGTCTCCTGGTTCTGAGTTCATGAAGGGTACAGGTCATGGGGAGGCTAGGAAAAATGTTAAAGAAGGAAATCACCTTTCTAGACCTTTTTGGTTCCTGGAACCCTCCACTTCAGAATTTCCCATAGGTATAACATTGGAAGGTGGGGAAAAATGCCAAGCTCTGAATCATCCCTGAGAGACATGTTTCAGGGCTGAGAACTCTAGGACCTTCTTGGAATGGGCAGATTTCTTCTCCTGCCAGAAGGCCCAACAACCCACACCCACACCAACATTCCCTGGCATATAAACATCCCAACTCTACAACTAATCTCAAAAAGACACCAAGCCTCTGAATCATCCCAGGTAGAGCAATCTCCAGGGTGAGAACTCTGGGGTCTTCTCATCCCAGCTCCACAGTTTCTGGAGTGCGTGGCCACATGTGTGATATCTCCGAACTTCACAGTGCTAATAATGCGGTAGGAGCACAGCAAATTTGAGGAGAAAGTTGCAAAGAAGCCCACCAGGTTCAATTAGCAGAAGCAATAACTCAAAAACTCAACCAGCAATAGGCAGCTCATTAAATCCTCTGGGAATAAATTTAGTAATGCCACCTTGTAAGACATAGCAGTAATCACAAGGGGACTTTTAGTGATATGATTTTTTTATAATCCCATTTGCTATTTTTTCATAACAAGAAATCTGAAGTAAATTTGGTATGTCCCTGCTAAGGGGGGTAGGCCTGAGGGAGGGGAGATTTTGCACGTTGGTGGACAGAAGGTCACACTGGTGGTAGGATTGGTGTTGGAACATTGAGTGCCTGAAACAACTGTGTTCTGAACAACTTTGCAAATCACAGTGCTTAAATTTTAAAAAGAAGAGTAAGCCTTGATTGCTTCTGGGTGTGGCCCAAAAGGCAAAATAACTTTTAAAAATAGTACAATCTTGTTTATTAACGAGGCCTTAATAAGACAAGTGCAATATGAATTATAAAAGCAAATTAAGGTATATTAAAGTTTTCAGAAAATAATGGGAACATGGGAAGGCTTCAGGCATGAGATCACTTTTCTGTGTCTATTCATGTGACAGAAGAGTTTCCTGAGTGCTGACCACATGTCATTGCTGTTTTCTCTTCAAGGATGTCATCCTAACCCTTCAAGAGAAGCTCTCCATCAGAGGTATTGAACATTTCTCACTTATGCTGGAGCAAAGGACAGAAGGCTCTGGAACCAAGCTGCTGTTGCTTCACGAACAGGAGACTCTAACTCAGGTGCAGATTTGGAGGCCCAAATTCCAGCCTCCTCCAAGCCTTTCAGTGCCTGGGTTTTTAACGCCTCGGGGTGATGTTTCCCTTTTTGACAATTTTTCACAGGCTGTCAGCCTCAAAGCAGATTTGTCATTCACAGGCTCACAGCTACTTATTGGGAGTGTGGTTCTAGAGAGTTAGATTGGATGGCATTGCAATGACTGGGTCCCCGTCTTCATCATTGATCTCTTGAAACTATTGGAAAAAGAAATGGTTTCTGCTGAGATTATTTTAATGAAGTCAAACTCCTATTTCAGTTCTGGGTGCTGACTCCAGACTATTTTGGAGCATCTGAAATCCCTGCCCATTCCTGCCCACTGTGAAGATGTGACCCACCCATGTGTCCCAGTTCCTAGTTACCAAAATGCTACCCCCATCTGTTCTCTGGAGAGTCAAGCAGGCTACTGAGAACCCTAACTTTTCTTGTGATTGTCCATAAGCAGAGTCAGTTTGCTGAAAAAGGATCCCAACATATTCCTCTTGAGGGCAAGAGTTCAATGATGAGGGAGCTTTAGGATGGGAGCATGAGGGGGCACTAGGAGGAGAGGCTGAGCATTGAGGCAGCCCAGAAAATGGAGTCTACAGAAAGTGTTGTCACTGTGCAGTGCTTTGAGGTGTCCCAGACTTCAGGTCTGACTGAGACCCTCCCGATGCTCTTGATTCAGTCAACTCAAGGCAATGAATTGTTAGGAAGTGTCCATACTGTGTTAATTTCTAGTTCTAAATCTGATCTATCATTTTGATCATGTTAAGTTCTCCCTACCGCGATTCTAAGTCACTTCTAATGGTTGCTTATTATTGTCACATCTGCCAACACACTCTTGGCAACAGGTGACTTATTTGATACTGCATGCTCGAGAAACGGCCTCACAATATTGAATCCCTTGTGTGAAAGGTCAGTGTTTGTGGTTCTGAGTTCCTCCAGAGGCGGAACTGAAGACTAGGACTTGGATGTGTGTGGTTTATTTTCAAGGAGATCTCGGGCCATGCTGGGAGAGGCATAATAAAAAAGATTGAGAAATCAGGGCACAGTGAAAGGGTTAGCAAGCTAGTCCCCACTGAGGGCAGCTGGAGGTCCACTCTACCTCTCAGGGAACACTGGGGGCCAGCAGAGACCATGCCTCTGAGATGTGCAATGGGAAGGGGGGGAGGGGGTTGTGGAAGAAGGGGGGTGTTTTCCGTGAAGGCACTTCCGGTATGTGCGGTGGGCTGGTGGTGGCAGATGGCTTCCTGTGTCTGCACTAGCCTTCAGCTGCTAGCAGTAAATGCCGAGGAGACCTGGGCGGACAGCCAGTTCCTATGAGTCTAATGAAACACCCCACATCTTTTTGACGTATCTAGTTCCACTTCGATATTTCTAGTTATTTTCCTCTGAGCTTTTATCTACTGCATAGCCTTTATCGGCAAGCTTCATGCTGATTTAGCAGGAAAGGGGGGAAAAAGACTCTTTAAAACTCTCTTCTGGTGCTAGGTAGCCCTAGCTTCACATTCATGCCCAAATTTTTCATTTCTTATAGAATGCTAGAGGGAAACAAAAGGCCTCTCATGGTGTTTCTTTGCTTAACTTCATGGAAAAGGCTTGGCTTGCTTTGGTTTTTAATCAGAGCTTAAAGTACTAAAATTCAAATCTTCACTCTAGGAAAGAGACAGGACTTAACTATTTAAATATTTAAGAAAGATTTAGCACAGCAGTAGGGCGTTTGCCTTGCACACAGCCAGCCCGGCCGAGCCGGTTTCGATTTCTCCACCCCTCTCAGAGAGCCCGGCAGGCTACCGAGAGTATCTCGCCTGCACGGCAAAGCCTGGCAAGCTACCCGTGACATATTCAATATGCCAAACACAGTAACAGCAAGTCTCAAAATGGAGACGTTACTGGGCCCGCTCGAGCAAATTGATGAACAACGGGAAGACAGTGTTTGTTTGTTTGTTAAATATTCTGAATCAAATCAGCTTTCTGCTTTTCATATTCATGCATGTGAAAAGTTTGATCAGTAAGGTTTAATTTGGCATGATTGGGAGAGTAAGTTTTAGAAATTAGACCACGGGCCAGAGCAATAATACAGCAGGTAGGGCTTTTGCCTTAAATGTGGCCGACCCAGATTCCATCCTGGCACCCTGGAAGTCTGGTCAGTGGTTGGAAGCTTGCCGCAACTAGTGTGTGTGTTGGAGGCGGGAGATAGAAAAGGGGCCAGTATGACAAGAATAGATGGAAAACATCACTCTGGATAAGAACTGAGTGCTGAAAGTACGTAGAGGGATATACATACATGATGACCTTTTAGTATCTATGTTGTAAATCATAATCCCCATAGAGAGGAGTTGGGGAGAGAGAGAAGTGCCTGCCATAGAGGCGAGGGGCAGGGGGCGGGAGAGAATCTAGGGACATTGGTGTTGGGCAGTGTATACTGGTAAAGGGACACGTATTGGAACATTATATGACTGAAACCCAATCATGAACAACCTTGTAACTGTTATTCCATTTAAAATGAATTGAAATTTTAAAAATATGCTGAAAGTAGACTATAGACCAAACATGGTTGCCACTCAATGCCTCTTTTGTAAACCACAACACCCAAAAGGAGAGAGAGAACAAAAGGGAATGCCCTGCCACAGAGGCAGGGTGGGATGGGGGGATGGGGGGTGAGAGGGATACTGGGACCCGTGGTGGTGGGAAATGGGCACTGGTGGAGGGATGGGTACTTGATCATTGTATAACTGAAACCCAAGCACAAAAATTTGTAATTCTACAACTGTGCCTCATGGTGTCTCACTAATAAAACTTTAAAAAATAATTAAAAAAATGAAAAGCCAGAAACAATATGTGCTGGCAAGGGTCTAGAGAAAAAAATATTCCCAGCATCCCATATGGTCCCGTGTGCCCCAGGAGTAATACCTGACCACTGCCAGGTGTGACCCCCCCCAAATAAAAATAAGAAATTAGTCAAATAACAATGATTTATAACTTGTTAATTTTGATGAAAACCACCAAGGAAATTTCAAGCAACTTTACCTAAATTTCTGACAGTTTGGCACTAAATCTTTGTATCGAATATATTACTGTTGGTTAATATACTACTTCAGTTTTCCGAGAAATTGTGTTCTTGTTTGTTTTAGATACTTGTTTAGAGACTGCCTTTTCTAATGCATCTCAAGCATTTTTCTTGCCAATTTATTTCCCCAAACTACTATAGCCTGATAATCAGAACAACAGAAAATAGGTCACTTATAAAAAAAAAATTTGAAAGACAGATTTCCTTGAAATTTTTTTATTCAATTAAAGATCCTTGGTTGACAAAGTTATAGATAATTGAGTTTTAGTCATACAATGGTGCAACACCAATTCCACCACCATTGTCCACTTCCCTCTACCAGTGTTCCCGGGGACCCTCCTGCCTCTGCCCCTCCCACCCCACTCCCCCTCATCCCCGCCACTTTGACAGTCACCATTCAAAGTTCTGTGGTTGTAGTTTAGATCTTATGTTTTCAGTGTTGTTGAGTCCAAGCTTTAGCTATATAATCCATACCACTCTCCCACATGATCCATATATCCAAGGTCCCTGACCTCTGTACCCCCATTACTTCCATTTCTCATCTTTTTCCTTCACCCCTTGAGTTTGGAAAGACAGACTCTAAGGAGTAGTTCAAGATGCTGGAGATGTGATTAATAACAGACTTTTTGTTTTTGTTTTTGTTTTTTTGGACCACGCCTAATTATGGTCATGACTTACTCCTGTTTTCTGCACTCAAGTCACTCCTGGCAGAACTCAGCATGCTGGGAATCGAATTTGGGTTGGCAGCATATAAGACAAGCACCTCATCCACTGTACTGTCGCTCTGGCCCAATACCTGACTTGTAACTTCAGTGTGACCATTGACATAATATTGCAAGATATCACTATGAAAGATTGGCATCCAGGCCTGGCCAGTGCTACAGATCCTGGGTCTCTTTCCCATTAGCCAGTGATAAGAAGCCCACAGCCCCCATCCTCATGCTTCCACTCAGCTTTTCCCTCCTGTCCACAGCCAGAAAGCTGTTTCCGTGTCTCTATTTCTCAATCTGTCAGTACATTTTGAGTACGGTAGAAGGGGATTGAGGCCACACCTGGAGGTACTCAGGAATTGCTCTCAGCATTTCTTGGGAACTGTAAGGTTCCAAAAATCAAAATGGGTCTCGCCACATGCAAGGCAAGTGCCTTAACCACAATCCCTCTGGCAAGTGCCTTAATCACAATCCCTCTGGCTCTGTCTGGTATATTTTTTAAAATATCAAAAACAGAGTGTTTTATTAGAATACACATCATGAGAAAAAAGTGAAATATCTCAATAATTATTCTTGGTGTATTCACTCAAACTTAACATTTTTAATATATTCAGTTAAATATATCACTCAAATAAAAAAAGAGTGTGTTTTCCCATTGATCTTTATTCAAAAGTTGGTGATGTCAACTTTAAGGAAAAAAATCTATACACATACATACAAACACACATATGCACACTGTGGGGCTCAATACAGCTATTGCTATTATATTGAACGTGTAAATTGTAGTTAATGAACATTTTTATTTTGCTGGATTTGTCCCCTGCATTAAAGTAGTTAATAGTTAATGCAGCTCTATACAAGAACAGTAGACCACAGCTGAACACCTGTTTAGTTCATCCTGTTGACCTTTTAAAAGGAAATTGAAGAGCTTTTACCTTCTCTCTTGGAGTCCAATGTCATTTATTTATTCAGCTGTATATTCATTGATTGATGATTCCCTTTTGTTGCAAACAGAATTGAGACACTAACACCTAGTACTTAGCACGTACTGTGCTGTAAAAGGAAAACACATGAAAACGATCCGTTGGCCTTCACGCTGATGAACTCGTAGTGATTTCCCAAGTCCTCTGAGCAATTTGAGCACTGTGTTTAGACCTGAAATTTCTCTCTTCCTGCTTTCCAATGTGATGCCATCCAAGTTGCACACTGTTTCAATTTTTGCTGCTCGATTCCGGAGTTAGCAACGCCCACAGTAGTGTCCTACTGTACTAACTGTCCTAAACTCTAGAGGCCAAGCCTTGGGTTCTGACCTGGGTTCTGGTCAGGATCCCTTTCTAGAGTCCCACATTCACCCTAGCTTTGCTCGCGACCAGACAGCAGCCAGCATCACACCTCCTCTCCACCTGCCCCCAGTCCAACCCGAAACCAGCATCTCCCTTCTGACTTACTCCCAGCCTTATCTCTTGGCGCCAACATGCAGTTCTGATGTGAAAAGTACAATCAAGAGTTCCCGTGGAGCCACGACTCCAGGGCACAGAAACCAATCTCTTAACTAGCTAACTTTTAATAGAAATTCTTCCAGGGTCAATAAGTAAAATAGCAGAAATTCAAAACCGCGCGGCCGCTATCGCGGCCGCGCGACCTCATTTTATTCTTAAACCAAGTTGTAGAAAGCAAATCATTTCACAACGCTGTTTCAGCATGTCTGATTGGGGGGGGGGGGGGTGGGTCGTAAGCTCTAAACAATAGTTGTGCATCTTCTATCGAAATAATCTATCTAGTCAAAGTAGATAGAGTATTAACTAGAACTCATCTGCCTCACAATAATTGGGAGGGGTGGGAGGTGGGGTTCTATTGGGGTTCGGGGTTAAAAATGAGTATTGGTAAAGGGAAATGTGTTCGGTATCTACATGACTGAGACCTAAACCCGAAAGCTCTGTAACTTTTCCCACAGTGATTCAATAAATAAATAAATTATATAAAAAAAAAAAAAAAAAAAAAAGAGTTCCCGTGGAAGAGCTTTCTCCCATTTTTCATCACATGCATCTTCCAGAGGGGCAGGTCCTCACTGTGTTCCTCACAGCCTGAGACACCAATATATGCAGTTTGCAGGGCACAAGTGTCAATTTCAAATACTAAAAGAGCTTCCTCCAACTTCCATCCTCAGTGTCCAAAGAAAGATGCATCCATGTCCCTCTGCCATATCTCAGCCAGCACTGAAGGATTCTTCTGTTCTGTGTCTTCCAGGTGACCCAGAGACCCAGCTCCCATAAGATGCGGTGTCTTTTCCGAATTAGCTTCGTCCCAAAGGATCCAATAGATCTTTTAAGAAGAGACCCGGTGGCATTTGAGTATCTCTATGTTCAGGTATGTGAGGGTTGGGACATGTTGGATGTTAATGCTGTAGGTAAATGATGATTTTTTTTTCCATTTAGAAACATTTTCCTTTTTGCCCTCCTCCCCAAACTTGATAAATTTTATGTTGATTCTATGTTGTCTTTATCAGTTTCCTTTTGATTTGGAAATGATTTGATATTTTCAAAAAGCTGTAAAAGTAGGTTTGGGCTTTCTTTGCATGCTACTACATGTCCTACATCTTTATTGTGGATCTATATTCAATATAAAAGTTATTTGGTGTAGCATATGTACTTTTCAGAAGCAGATGTGTCAGTTACAAAAATGAAACCATTTGCCCCTAAATACATCACAATGCACTGATTTGCTAACAAGGATAATTTTACATAATCATCATATAATTAATGAACAGTTAGATTCTACATTGATATAGTATTATTATGTGATCTAGACTTCATATCAAAATTTTTCTCACCTTCTCACAAAATAAATCCATATATCAATTTTTCCTACAATAAATCCATTTTTAGGATCCTATTTTTGTAGCTAGTTGGTGATTTTTTTAGTCTCCTTAGATCTGGAGCAACCGAGCCCTTTATTCCACTTTCATGACCTTCCCAGTTTTGAGGAGTTATTGTATAAGTTATTTTATAGATGGCTCTCAGTTTAGACTGTTGTTCTGATGTCTTCTCATAGTTACCTTGAGGTTATGTATTTTCTACTGGTGAACAATGTAAGAGATTCTGTGTCCTGCTCATTTAAAGAAATCAGAAAGGTTTGGATGGTGTCTTACAAATGTCTCCTTTCTAAGATCATTTCTTTTCCTTTTGTAATTAATAGGTAATTTATTGATAGTTCCTATGTGACTCTCTCATTACCCTGTAGCTTTTCAAATATTCACCCTCTGATTTAGTATTCATTGATTCTCACCTGAATCTGTTATTTTGATGTTTGAAAGTGATTTTTCTAATTCTGTTATTTATTAATTGGCATTCTGCTATAAGAAAATGATCTCTTCTCTGTCATTTAATTGGCTATATTAATTCATTTGTTTATAGCTTGTTTTAAAATACCGGGGCCTGATTTTTCCTCCCTTCCCTACCAGCTCTGCCAGGAGTGAGTCCTGAGCACCACCAAGTGAGGCCCAAAAAAACAAAAAAAAATGTGCTATCCATTGGACGGGAATGACTTTACAGTATATTTTTTATATACTGTAAAGTCATTTTATATACTGTAAAGTATACAGTATATGTTACAGTGTAAAGCTCCAGTTTGTACTGAAACCATTCATTTATTAATGCCTATGTAAAACCTAAAGGAGAAAGGCATTTTGAGACTCTGTCTACCTCTGATTCTGGGATATAATTTTCAGGAATAAGAATCTATTCTTATAGAGTCCCACAAAGGAAATTTTTCCAAATTGATCATTAGGATATATGTCTATATTTTTAAAAATCTGCTTTTCATTGCTGCGAAATGGACAATATAATCCCATTAAACGTTAAGATCCCACTAACAAGGCTTAGACATAGAACCATAGAATCATGTAAAGGGATTAGAAACATAATGGAAACTGCTACTGCAATAAAACGAATGAACAGCAGGGACAGACTGCATTTGGCTGGGGATACCTATGGATGTCTTCCTTACAGGAACTGCAAGTAAGGAATGAAAAAGCAAAGGAGTAGGGAAAAGGCAGTTGAAGAGAAGCATTTGTCCAATCTGAACAGTTAATGTGTTGACATTGTTTTCTCTTTCTCAGTGCTCTGTGTGTGTGTGTGTGTGTGTGTGTGTGTGTGTGTGTGTGTTTGAAAGCTTTCGTTGTTGGGAAGGAAATGAAGGTAGGGAGAAGATGGAAAAGAGACATAGATAAGGGTGACATCAGACGTTAGAAAGAAGACAGAATTAAAGCACTCAAGGAGAGAGCAGTTAAAGCCCCCAATCAATCGTCTTTGGAAGAGGCAGTGGTGGTTAGTTAGAGCTCAGTAAGATGGTTAGAGTGTTCATGAAGATAACCCTGAGTCATCGGGAAGTGGCAGATCCTGTGCAGAACTGTGCTTATCAACAAGAAAATGTGCCTGGCACTTGACACCATTTTCTCCGCGGAACAGTGAAACAGTTATGACTTGGGGGTTGAGCATGTTAACCTTTGGTCACCTGGACCCTTCAGCAATGTCCCTATAACCCAGATCATCCTGGCAACCCAGATGGGACCATGGTAATCAGCCTGAATCTCACCTGTGCTATCTCCGCATCTTTCCCTTCATTCCTGTTGAGAACCCACCAGGAGGCTGCCCCTGCAGTTCCACTTAGAGACTGATTTTTACCTTGTTGATTGCAAATAAATAGTTGGCAGGTGCCTAACTGTAGATAGCAAGAAGCCTTTAGAGGCTATACTCAGTAATTATATACTAATCCCACTAACAAGGTGGTGCTCTCAAATCATTTCCAGTCTGCTTCTCTTTCAACCATCACAAGCCCTAGTTATTCTCTAAAAGAAGTTGGCTTTGGAGTTGGTTCTAAGGCTCATGGGTTCGATCCCCACCATCGCCAGGAATGACCTCCAGCACTGCTTCAGAATTAGCCCCTGAGTCCTGCCTGGCATGGACCCAAAACAACAACAACAACAAGTTGGGTTTGCCATTGGTGCGCCGAGACCTCTTCAATGGAGCAGAAGCAAAGCAGTGGGCTGTATAAGGTGTGCTTGCTCAGACCTAATGTCATTCCTTTCTATGCAAAAGGCACATCTTCTAGACTTGGGACACTGTCCTATGGTCAGTGGAACATGGCAGGGAGCTTGCTCAGGGATAAGCAGAAGATGAAGACCTGTCTGCAGGGAACCCGGGCACTGACCAGGTGGTGGTTAGCCACTGTTTACAAGGTACCAGTGGGGCAGATGGAAAACCATGTGTGATGGCCAAAGAGCTCCAAACCAAGTTCTACCCACTAATTCATCCTTCTGAGAATAAGAAATGAAAATGTCTTGTCCTCGGACTATTCACTTGGCAGAATATGTGTGAAAGAACATACCTGGCTAACCTAAGTCTGTGGATGAGCAAACGGTGCTGGCTACCCATGTGTCTCATAAGGTACTAAAAAATGCAATGAAATTAGCTTAGAGAGCAAAAGAGTAAGTGGAAGCAATATATGTCACATTATAAAGACAAAAAACATTTCAGTCTAGCGGGCTCCTAATGAGGACAGAGGCCATTGACTAGATGAGCCATGAGAATGGAAACAGCATTGAGTCATGATCAGACCTATCAATCTCCTGGTCACCAATGCACCATGAATGAAGTATCTTTTGCAAAGTTAGCACATAGTCAACCCTAACACTCCAGGTTGTTCTCGTTCATAATTGCATAAGCTATGTTTACCTATTAAGGAGCGGATTGTTAGCAAGTAGGAAAACACGGATGAGTTCCGGGAAGTGTTTCTAACACTTTGGCAGTCTCCTTTTACCATCTAACATATTCATAGTAAGTGACCGTTTTTTGTGCAGCTGAAATGGAGTCTGTTGGAAAGTCTTTTGCAAAAACAACAGCTGCCATTTTCTTGTTAGCTACACATTGAGTTATGAACTTGACAAAAGTATGATTTAGTACAAAAAAAGAGATATGTGAGACTTCACACTAATTCTCCAGGATCAGTCTGAACTAATTATATATAATGGAATTAAGTAACTAATCACTGTGACCAAAACTTGTCCCATGGGTCTGGTTAAATACAGGCCATGCAGCAGTGGGAAAGGGTGCAGTCAGAGCTCTGAGAAGTGATGGTTGATAATTCACCTTTTAAAAGCAAACTGGTTTTCCGAAACATCCTAACGGGCATACCTGCAACCTCAAGAGTTGACTGTTGTTGACCCATTTTTCAGATAAGAAAACTGAGTCCCAAATTCAGAAGTTGACTTATAAAAAATGTTTTATTTAAAAAAAAAACCCTGGTTCTTTAAGTGTCTCTGATGGCCTGGAACTTTGTCGTGTGGCTCTTTCCTCCTCTGACCTCAAGAGACTATAAAATGACCCCATCTGGACCATGGACAGCCCCGGCTGTCCAAATTAACTGGCCACCCCACAACCAGCAAAACAAAATGGCACAGTGGAGTTGCTCTCACCCACCTCAGGCCAGGCCCACTGGCAGACAAAATAATAGATGTGAGCTTGTAAGGAGGAGCGAGGTGGCAGCCACTGCCGGGGTGATCGGGAGACCATGTGAGTTCACTGTCAGTGTGAGCGGGTAGACTGAGTCACACGGCCAGTGCGGTGCAGACCAGGAGCGGATTCCCAGTGCACAAACCGCACAGGGCACATGTTACCACTAAGAAACCCACGTGTGCAGGAGCCAAAAACACACATCTCTCAGAAGGCAGCAAACACATCCTGATAGAGATTCCCATTCCAAAGCTTCTTGGGACCAGGCAAAGAAGACAGGAGAGAGAGAGAGGCCGAAGAGCATGTTACCGGGGCTGGAGCGATAGCACAGCGGGTAGGGCATTTGCCTTGCATGCAACTAACACGGTTTCAGTTCCCAGTATCCCATATGGTCCCTGAACACAGCTAGGAGTAATTCCTGAGTCCAGAGCCAGGAGTTGTTAACCCCTGTGCATTGCTGGGTGTGACCCAAAAAGAAAAAAAAAACTTTTCCTAAAGCTAAAGATTAGCTCCAAAGAAAGTCCTCAGAGACTGGGAGACTTCTGTGCCGCGTCCCTCCGGAATGCATGGCAATGCCATCCTCCAGCAAGAGGCTGGCACTCAGAGGACTTTATCACACAGTCCAGCTGCTCTGCAGTTTGGCGCATACCACCAAGCCTATGAGGTAGGTGACTTTATTTTCCAGATGCACAAACAGAGGCAGGAAGACTTAGAAAGACTTACAGCCTCCAAGCGCTAGTACTGCACTCACTGTTGCAATCAGCTGAGAACGGTCATAGCTCCCCCTTTTACTGGCGGTGCCCGGGACCTGCAGTAAAGCCCTTCCTGAGCGTCTTTGTGGGAACCCCCATGCCACTCCAGGCTGTGAGGACATATGCCCATTGAGCAGATGGGCACGTTGAGGCTGCAAGAGTTAAGGTGTACTGGTCCAAGTTCCACCCGTAGGTAATCACTGGCAAAGCCAGGACTCTGCAGCCGTTGGCCTAAGGCTAGAGCCGCTGCATGCTGTCACCTTATTCTGCTACCCAAAGCTGTTCTGGATGACAAGGAAGACGGTGATGTGATGACAGCCGGTGACACGCATGAGCGCCTCTACCTCCCCAGGTAGAGCACTGAGGGCTTTTCATTGTTCAGTTCTTGCATTCTCGCCACAGCTCTGGGAGAAGGCAGCAAGTGCTCCCCCCAGCTTGCAGGAGAAGAAACTGAGACACCGACTCTCAAAGCACGGGCCCAAGTTCACAGCTTTGAGAAGTGGAGGAATAGCGTGCCAGCTCGAGATGCCAACACAGCAGCCCAAGTCCAGAAGCCACACGCTGCTGTCCATGCTCCGGGCGTTCCGTTGCGGTCCCGGCGCTGGCAAATTTCTGACCCATGTTCCTAATGCCTCTTACCAAACGTTGATAGTTTAAATAGCGACTCGCTAGTCGGTGGATGTGAAGTATTTCTGTGTGCCATGCATCTGTCTTGATGCTTGCAATGGCATGCATCTGTCTTGATGCTTGCAATGAAAGACTGGACGCTTCCAGGCAGCTCGGGGGAAGTGTTTCCATCCATCCTTCCTCCCCTTTGAAGCGAAGGTGGAAACCCTCAGGGTCTCTCGCGTCCCCCATTCTTCTAAAGCCACCCCGGCCCGTTCTTTGACGCGCTGCGCCCTCTGCTGGTCTCTTCGCAGAGTTGTAACGATGTCGTTCAGGAGCGGTTTGGACCAGAGCTGAAATACGACGTCGCTCTGCGGCTGGCGGCCTTACAAATGTACATCGCCACCGTTACCACCAAGCAGACACAGAAAATCTCCCTCAAGTACATCGAGTAAGTGCTGATCTGTCTGTTTCCAAAACTGAGCTTGTTTGTGGCGGAGCATTCATTCTCCGGGAGCAATAACATTTGTAAGCATCACGATTCGTTTGGGGTGGATCTTTTTTTTTTTTTACGTGATCCACCTTTAGAAAAGGAAGAACCCATTTTTAGGTTTTCGCGTTCTAGAATCTAAAGGAACTTGGTGCCAGGCCAAGCTTTGTTCTCGGCACTGTTCAGACTTGAGCTGTCTAATCCCACAGTTTCCCTTTTACATGAGTAGGATTTTAGCTCCAACTTACAGACGCGCAAAGCAACGTGCAGAGTGATCAAGGAACTTGTCCAGTGACAGTGTCAGCTAGTGGGGGAGGGTCAGGATCCCAGCCCCACCTTTAGATTCGTTTTTCAACCTTTCCCCCACCAACCATGACCACACCTCTGGTCTTGTTCCTTTCTGTGACCCCCCCCCCCTCCGACGCCCACCTACCAGTATGCACCCTAGCCTTGCGCCCTGGCCCCATTGATGCTGTGTTTCACCTGTGGCTCCCTTGCAGTATTCTGGGGAGGGGGGTAGCCTGCAGAAGTTATATGCCCTCTCCAGTTAGAAACCCTGCTTTAAAGAACCAAAATGCGCCGTATTGAGGCATGTTCTCGGTGCCAATCCAGAAGGCTGGTGTTTGCAGGAAAGAACACGGAGCAAGCCAGAGAGGATGTGCCCAGGCCGACTTGGCTTTGCGGTGGTGGGGGCAGCTTGCTGGGGCAATTCCCTCTCTGGCTCAGAGTCCCATTTCCAGCATCCGTGTGCTAGCTCTGGTGGAGAAGCTTCTTCTTTCTTGAAGCAAGCCCTCTGTGTGGTCTTTAGTGGGTGGGTGGAGCTGCAATGGGCAGTTCCCGTAACGGGAATCCCATACTCAACAGCTTCAAGCCAGCCACTGATGATTTCTGAAGCCCGTCAGCTCATGCTCCTACTTCAAGGCATGTGGCAGGGCTGAAACCACGCCTTCATGACACCATGAAAACCCTGACGCCCTCCACATCCCACCTCCAAGAAAGAGGTGGACAAGCTAGCTAAAATGCCACTTGCAAAAATTCTTCCTGGCCTGAAGGTTCTCAGGGCAGAGTGCTCAGTTCACCACCAGGGGGCAGAATAGCTTCTTCTTTCCGGGGGCTTGAGCCACCTTAGGGAGAAATTCCCCATCTCCCACCTGCTGTCTTCCATCCCTTTTCTGAAGTAGTTAGGGACAGATTTGGAGAATGTGACCTGCGGGCTGGTTTTCGTTTTCAGGTAATTAAACCATATTTCTTACTGTCTACCACATTTGACCAGGTTGAACAAGGTCCCATCAGAATGTCCCAGAGATAACTCATTTGACCAGGAATCTTACTGAGTCTGTAATGATTTCCTCATCAATGAGTTTGTTCATAAAGTAAAGTAAAGGCCCTCCTGTTGATCATCGATTTGCTCGAGCGGGCGCAGTAACGTCTCCATTGGAGACTTTGTTGTTACTGTGTCTGGCATATCGAATACTCTCGGTAGCTTGCCGGGCTCTCCGAGAGGGGTGGAGGAATCGAACTCAGGTCGGCCATGTTGGCTGCGTGCAAGGCAGATGCCCTACCCGCTGTGCTATCGCTCCAGCTCCTACTGGGCCCGCTCGAGCAAATCGAGTTTGTTCATCCGACATACGTTCCTTGAGTGTTTTATATAGCATTAACATTCACACCATAGAAGGTACTAATACATATACATTATAAGCTTATCCATCAGAGGATTTCTGATCTCATTATGAAGACACAGAGATGGGAAAGTTATTTTAAATAATAGAAGGAGAACAAAGGAAAGATAAGACAAGCTGAGGAGACAGAGGAAGGAACAAGCATTAGAAATATCTTCTCTGGGGATTATGAGTGCAAAGAAATAATTAGTGGACTCGTGGAGTGGCCCAGGACTGAACCCATACTGATATGTCAGGCCGACACCTGGGTCTGTTATCATGAGTGGTCCCCAAGTCACCAAACGCTTCTGGGGAGGAACCCCCATAAAAATTAAGGAAGACGTGAACTGCATTTTTAAAATGGCACTACACTGACTAAAATTAGCACAGGGACATCAGAATCGTATTTTTTGATGGGGCTGTACCTTTACTTTTTTTTTAGGGAGAAAAATGTCATTAGAAAAAAATACAACATGTGAGATTTCATATAAAATGTCTTTTTCAAGTAAAAGAACCATCTTCTCTAGTGGAGAAGGTTGGAAATGGTCACAGCGGGGAGTACTGCTTCCAACCCTTCTTTGAAGAGAATCTGGAGCAGAAATAATCAAAGCCTTCCTGCAGGTCTTCACATAATTGTAAAGACACTGATTGAAACACATGACCCACTGGGACATGTTTCCTAGAATTCAAAGTCTGGAACCTTCTTGGAGTAGTTTTATAATCACTACTAAGGAAAGGGGTTCTTGGCAAGGATTACGTCACTGTTTACCAACCTTTTTCTTTCTGACCATGGCTTTCTTCCTTCCTCACTATGCCACCCATCTTATCATCAGCCCCTTAGTTCCATGTCAGGACCCCCCAATGATGTAGTTTTCACCTGCACATCCTTTTCAACATCCTGGGGACCCCCATGGAAGCCTTATGGCCCCCACACTGTATTAACTCGCTCCCCTTTGTCCATTTTTTCAACCTATCATTACTTCGTAGGGTGAACTATTAACTATCATTACTTAATAGTATGTGAACTCAGCCACATACTTAAGGGTGATGAACACTGACTTCACGCCAGTACCTCCCCAAAAGGAATTGTTAATAAAAGGCATTAGTTATCTGTGAAGGGTGGGGGGAGGTGATAGAACTGTGGGTGTCTAGAGAAATGGCCACTGATGGGGGAGATGGGGAGAAAGGATAGTTTGGGGTGTATCCATTCATCAATCCATCCCAGAGAAGGGACAACATGTGGAAACACAGGCAAAGATGGGAGCAAACAGAGATGGCGAGAAACCAGTGTTGAAAACTACAAAGTCAGGTAGGTAAGTGAATGAATCCAGGGAGACTCCGACGTGAGTTGGATAAGGCATCTCTTCAATGTTCATTGACCCCAAATATCTCCTTTGCATTCTCTCTAGAGAGTGAGGAAGATTTGTTTTAAAACACAAACATATGTATTAATGATCAAATAGTATGTTGTCCCCCATGTACATTAAAAGTACTGTCCCTAACTGGGATCGCGTCTCTGTTCCTTGCCTTACCTAGAGTTCATTTGTTCCAACACACATCAAAGCGCCATTTTGTCTTAGATCACTAATCATCACAAGAATGTGAAATTAAAGATATGTTCTTTATTGCAGAAAAGAATGGGGATTAGAGACATTTCTTCCCTCTGCTGTGCTGCAAAGCATGAAAGAGAAGAACATAAAGAAAGCACTTTCACACCTTGTCAAAGCAAATCAAAACTTGGTACCACCGGGTAAAAAGGTATCACATTTGCATCTTAATAGAAAATGGATTTTAAAGAGAGGCTTGCATGCATTTTTAAAATGTTTAAAATTAGCCTGTGAATAAAATACTTAGCACCATATTTTCAGAAGCAGTAACACTGTATAACCTTTCAGAATTATTAACATGTTTCTAAGACTAATGGCAAATAAGTATGGGAACCTACTTAAGTCTTGCATACGACAGACTCCTTTTTATATAGTGTGTGTATATGTGTGTGTGTCTTCACACACAAGAGAACCTCGTATGAACTCTAAGACCTTGTGACTACAGGGTAGAACTGCCAGATAAGTTTCCATTCCCACTGAGCTCTGCATTCAGACCACCTTAAATACAGAGAAGATGCCACACATATTAAACCATTCTCCTGGACCACATCCTCTTCACATCCGGAACCAGATTGTACTTAGCTGGGGAGGGGAGCCATCCTGTGCATTGTGGGAAGTTGAACAGCACCCCTGCTCTCTACTCACAAGATGCCAGTGTCCCCCACCTTCTCAATCATGACAAAAATGTTTCCAGACGTGACCAATTGTGCCCAAAGCAACTTTATCACCCTTGGTTGATCACCATCTAATTTCATCTTACTTCTGGACAAAAGATGACATTATTTCTGTCACCCACTATTACTACCGTTAAAAATCCTTTTTTATCAAGGAGAAAAGTCATCGTACATACTTATTTTGTGAGGTGGTAGTGCTTGGGTCACACCCAGTGGTACACGGGGGCTATTCCTGGCACTGTGCTCAAGGATCACGACTGGCAGTGTGCTCTGAACCATATGCTGTGCCAGGGATCCAACTGGGCTTGGCAGCATGTAAGGCAATCAGCTTAAATCCAGTACTATCGCTCAGGTCCCGGTTCAACCTCAGGTATCACTGAGAGTCCCTGAGCACTTAGCCAGGAGTAAGCCATGAGCATGACTGAGTGTGACCTAAAAATAAATAAAATAAAATACAGTACTGGCCAGACTAGAGATTTCTGTGTAGGTTGTAAAAAACAAATAACCAGAAAGAAAAGGAGCCTCAAAATACTGGAACTGAAAAAAAAGTCCTGGAACTGTACAATTAGAAGCATTGTGGGAATTTGAACAGCACCCACAAGATGCAGTGATGGTGACCATAGAGACTGTATGACTGCAATCCAAACCATTGTTTAAGGGGGTAATCCTTTGCTCTTAGTATCTGATTGTAAGTCTGTTTTTCAGCTAAGACATGCTTGTTTATAGTTCCTCCTCACCCCGTGGCTTTTTAAAAATACATAATAGGTTCAACATATTATCAATCACCTTTGCCCATTTTCTGTAAGCATTCAGGTTATTGAATTATAACAGGATGTCTTGATCAAATGCTCCCTCTTTTTTTGAATCATGCCAGGTGGTGCTGGGGCTCCTCCTAGCTCCGCTGAGAGCCTGCTGTCACCCCTGCCTGTGCTCTGGGGACCATGTGATGCCAAGATTTAACTCTAAGCCTCCAGCATGCAAAGCACTCACACCAGCCCTGGAACTATTTCCCCAGTTCCTTCCCAAACACTTTTTAATTTCAGTTCTGTTTTTCCAAAAGCCAATTTCTTCTAATTGGCCTGATTTGGGGCTGGGTGGAGGGAGTGTCAAGTCTGGCTCACTGGTTCTGCAATAATTTGGATAACCGTTCTAAATTCGATGGATCTATCACATTGCTGTCTGGCTATAAAGGTCATTTTTTCCTAGCCAAGAGTGAGTGGTTGCTTTCAGATCAATTTACCAAGTGCTTTGGGTTTTAGGAAGAAGGAGGATGGATGATTAGTACTAAATAACAATTACATAAAGGATAGGACATTTAGGTATCTTCAACAAACGAATTAGCAAGTCATCTGCAATTGAAAACAGACCTATCCAGGCATTGCTACTGGAAGGTATACACTGTGTTGGAAAATGTTACCCCAGACACATAGTCCCTGCACATTTATCATGAAACAAGGGCTTCTTTTTAAATCAAATGCATTTTTTATGATGTGAGGATCTACAGTGTGAAGTCATTATCAAGATCAATTTTTTATCTACATAAAATTTTATTGTAAGTCACTCACGAAACTCAACAGGTTTTTAGATTGGATAAATAAAATAGATTTGTGTTGCCAGTTCAGACTTTCCCCCAACTCCCACCAGGAGTAAGCCCCAAGCACCCCTGTGTGTGGCCCACAAAAAAAAAATAAAACAAATAAACATTCCCACAATGATTGGAGCTCAGAAAGCTGATTCTTGCTGAAATCATGCAAAGACTGGAAGAAAGTTGAACTGGGAGTAAAGCCTTTGCAAAGGTTTTATATAGATTGCAGGTGTGTATGCAAACCAGCCCCCACTAGTTCCATGTACAGGTGAGGGCCTGTGCTCAGGGAGAATTCAGATACAACCTACCTTTGTCCCTAATTGCAATCGGAAAGCGCCACTCGCCTCTGAGAATCCAATGAGCAGATGTTCTGTGCAACATTTCATCATCTGTTCTCCCTTGGCGAGTGCTCTGCCTCAGCCTCTCCACGCCGACTTTCTCCCCAAATAGATTTTCATCTTGATGTCCTTCCTGACTTCATCAGGAAGTCAAATACACTGCAATTACTTTCATTATGATCCTGAGGAGTCCTCGTCACACCCCACCTGTCACCAGTAAAATCCTCCTCCTCGTTTGCCCTTGTCGTATCTGGTCTCCGAGCAGAGACAGAATCATACCCACTGGAGTTAACATCTGACGTTTCCTTTCTCTCCTCAGCTCTCCGCGCTGCAAGCCAAGGTCCATTATCTCAAGTTCCTCAGTGACCTGCGATTGTATGGGGGTCGTGTGTTCAAGGCGACATTAGTGGTAATTTCTTTATCCTGCTTTTTCTTGGAAGCCATAGAGGCTGCCAGATGTCACTGCATAGGCCGCCTTGGTTGGGCTGCCTCTGGTGACAAATGCAAATCAGCTGAGTCTCTCTTCCAGCCTTCATTTCTAATTGACTGCACCCCAGGCTGAAATATCAGAAGAAATGTTGTGCGAGATAATGCCACTGCAGAATGCCCCGAGAAGAGAGACATTGGACAACCCGGAGCACTGAGGCACTCTAATGCTGGCCTGCATTTAAAGAGTTGGGCCAGAAGTTGCTTTCCCATCAAAAAAGAAAAAGAACCCCTGCTTTCTAACCCCCTGCTCCTGGTTATGAAGCTACGTGCTATGATAACATTTCCTTTCTTCATTATTCATAATTTATCAGCGCCTTGAGGCAGTCATTTATCTGCTTCTTCTAATTGGATGATTTAGGACAATGAACCCCAGAAACACTTTCTAAAGAAAATGTAATCTTATAAAAACAGACTCCCCGGTCTGTCTTGGCACGGTGCTTCCGAGGTCCAGTGTTTTGATCTTTTGTCAACATCTCCTTCTCAGCAGGCAGAAAAGCGCTCAGAAGTGACTCTCCTGGTCGGGCCCCGATATGGCATAAGTCATGTCATCAACACAAAAACCAACCTCGTGGCTCTGTTAGCTGACTTTAGCCATGTCAACAGGATTGAGATGTTTACTGAAGAGGAGAGCTTGGTGAGAGTGGAGCTCCACGTGCTTGATGTCAAGGTAAGTCTTTTGGAGGCATAGCGTCGGTTGGAGCAGCTCATTTCAGATAGAACGGCTGAGGTTCTCAAAGAAAGCAAAAGTTGCCCATATGCAGAGTATCCGTGGTACACTGGGGTTTGCACCACATCTAACCCGGACCCCAGGACTCCATCCACACTAAATAACACATAATTAGGAGACAAGTGGTCATGCATCTCTGGGCACAGTTTCTTTGTCTCCATGAGCAAGCAAGCTGGTTCTTTCTCTGGTCCCTTCAGGCTGCAGAATATATCAATTAAAAGGTGGGGAGATTTTTCCCCACAAACTTTCTAGAATGTGTATCTCATATATAAGAATAAGGGACACACACACACCAATTCTTTAGAATTCCCCAATTGGGTCTCATGTGTTTATTCTTTTAGAAATGCTGAAAAAAGTTTGTGCTTTCAATCTTTGATCATTTTGTGGTTTTATGTTATGGTACTTGGTACTGGCTGATTCCCCCCTATGCATGCCTTGGCCATTCCATTTTAAATAATGTGAGATTTCCAGATACAGCATACTTTACACCTGAAACACTAGTTGACAGGAGATGAGCTAGACCTCCTTGACTTTCTTCTTTAATTAGATTGTTCACATAAGTCATGTTTCTGTGATGGTGGGATGGAGGACCTGGACAAAAAGAAGACAGTGACTCCACAAAGGAACAGCATCAGCCAGGAGAGAGGCTCTGGGAGTAGGCTAAGGGGCTGTGGGAAAAGCGGGTTCAGAGTCTAGGAGAATGTGGGAAAGCAGAACAGAAAGCTTCGCCCAGTGTATTCTGTAGCAGGATGAGAGGATTGCAGAAGGGATCATGTGAGCTCTGGCTGGCCACAGCCAATGAGCCATCATGGGCTCAGGCCACGTGACTCTTCTTAGTTTCATGGCCAAAAGAGAGTACACTAGACTTGGAATCAATCACCTGGTCCATGAATAAAAATACTGAGAACAATAGTCCCTTCTTAGCACAGAAGGAAGTATGAGTTGGATGCAGTTACCACATAGGAGTGAACTGCACCAAACAGAAATGGATGACAAGGCCATACTGAGGGTTCCCTGCCTCAGTCAAAAAACTAGAGGGCAGCCTCAGTGGAAGCTTAGGGAAAGGCAGTGGAAGCTGAAGTGCAGGGACTTTGAATGGGAAGTTAGATTGTACCAACTGAAATGGTACAATTGTACCAGCTGAAATAAAGTCTAAATGGAATGCTTCCTCCCACATAAGCCCAAGACCCATGTCCTAATATATGCATGGTAGCCTCCTCATTCCCAGAAAACAAGGCCTTTTCTCAGTTTTTTTTCAGTCTCTTTACAATTTTTCAGTCCCTCTTAAAAGTCACTTCCACCCCATGTTTACTTCTCCTCAACATTCATGTTCACCACAACAAAACGTCATCTTCCTGTGATGGTTTAGATTGTAGGTACACATATGGAAGCTCCTTAGCTAGAGGTTTGTAACTGATGTTGAGGGTTTTTTTCCATTCTAATACAGCTTGGAAAATACTCAGACTGACTAGGCTTTCATATGAATGTGTCCTCAATGTCTTTCAGCAAGGCTCTCCATTAAGCATCAATTTTTTTCTTCCCACACCAGTTGTATTTCCCTGATGAAGCAGTTGCTCCAAACCTTCTTGTTTGTGTTCCTTTAGCACACAAAAAATTCCTTGTCATTTGAAGGGTGCTGTTAAGAAGGGAAAGCTTTAACCACTGGTTCATTCTCTTTTGTGCAGCCCATCACTCTTTTGATGGAATCTTCAGATGCCATGAACCTGGCCTGCCTAACTGCTGGATACTACAGACTACTTGTGGATTCCAGAAGGTCGATATTTAACATGGCAAACAAGAAAAACACAGGGACCCAGGAAACAGGTATTTTCCTCCTGAACTCCTGAAACACTGATCTCCTCTCCACCCCACCTGGCAACAATCATGAGGTTTCAAGAAAAGTTAAAATTGTAACCACGAAAGAGATCTAATTAGATAAATTATCTAATACTTCAGATAGGATCTACATTTAATTAAAATGATTTCTTTCTTCATATGTTTCATATCTCTTAGAAATGCCAGATTTCTTGCTTCAAAGGCAGTGGCTTTATTTCGTTGTGGATGGAGTAAGCATCAGTGTTTATGGCTGGCATATTCCTGCCTCCCTCTTACCGGAAGGAAGTCAGGACACAGACAGCTAACAATGGAATGCCCCTAGCTGGAAGTTGTGGGCCCAGGGCTTGAGAGCTTGCTCTCTCCCAGGGATGCCTGAGACCAGCTGCCTAGGCACCTCCTCCTTCAGTGAAACTTGCTTCCAGGACTCCAGAAGCTCTAAGTAGCATGATGACTTGATTATGACCTAGCACTTACTTTGACCTTGAACATGACCAGAACCCAGTAGCCATCTTGCTCTGTGATTGGAGTGTTGTGATGGCAAAGACAAGATGTTATTCACTTCAGTCCCTTGACAGGACAAAATAGCTTCACAGTGAAGATCAAGGGGACTGGAAGTGGTGAATTGATCATGTCATAGGTAATTAGTTTTCGTTTGCTTTAGAACTTTATTTCTTTCATTGCTTGAACATTTTTCTCTATTACAATGGACACTTACTAAAGGTGGCTGATGGACCAACACTATTCTCAGTTCAGAGCTACTGGCCCATGAAAAACAATTGAATCAGGAGCTCCGTACTTAAAGGTTCCTTTTGAAAGAAGTGGGAACAAATTCTTTTCATCACTCTTTCTGGGAGAGAAGAGGGGAAGGAAAAAGAATGGAAGGAAACCCCTTTGGCTTTGAAACTTTACAGGGGACCAGTAGAGAATTCACAATGCATGTGCGAGACCCAGTGTCCAGCCCCAGCACCACACAAAAAAATAAAGATAGTAGTGGGGGCAGAGCAATAGTACAGTGGGTAAGGCATGTGCCTTCCACACGGGCGACCTGGGTTCAATCCCCAGTACCCCATACGGTCCCCCAAGCCCCATCAAGAGTGATCCCTAAGAGACTGAAATAAACCCTCCTGAACATCACTGGGTATGGCCAAAAACAGGGAAAGAGAGAGAGAAAGAGAGACAGAGACAGAAAGGAGAGAAAGATAAACATAAGACAAAAAAATGCCTGAGAAGACACAAATGATTACAAATATAGGGGAGGAACAAAAGGACAATAATAAGTCCTTTTGTGCTGGACTTGGTGATTAAAACTTTTATGACTATATGTTTTTGGGCTTTGCAATAGGAGATCTGAAGCATTTTAATGCTGACTTTTGAAGCTCCTCACAGCAATACATAAATATAGTTGTCTTTTCACATTATAAAAATGGTGCTGAGCTTTTAATTTTCAAATCCTAAAGTTTACCTTGAAAATAATTGTTTTCCTGGGGCCTAAGAGATAGTACAGGATTTAAGGTACTTTCCCTGCATGTGGCTGACTCTGGTTCCATCCTGAGCACTGCACATGGTCCACTGAGTGTGATTCCTGAGCACACATCACAGTAAACCCTGAGCACACATGTGTCTGGTTCACAAACCAAAAAAAAATATCTTTTCTGATTGTAAAATCTTGTACAGAAATACCATTTTATTTGGTGAAGAAATCCTGAGCCCATCCATCTAAAAATGATAACAGTAATTAGGGTTGCAGTTATATTCCACTCACAGTGACTCATGGTGCGATATATATTAGAAATTTCTAGAAGTAAAATCTTTAGTTCTGAGAATTGCTGTTACTGGCAGGGAAGAGTGGTTCTTCAACCTTCGGTAATCTCTCCCAGTTCTCTGTAGAGTGAGGCTTGTGTTCCAAGTATTTCACTCTGTTCTGAAAAGGGGCAGGGGGAGAGGAGTGTAGTGGAGCAACTGGGGGTGGGGGGTGGGGAGCAGAGTAAACAGAGATGGCATACTCCAGAGAACAACTGTTTGATCCACACTAAGCACCACAAGAGGTTTAGCCCACAGCAATGTTGGAAAGTCTGTTCTCTTCAGAAACTGTGAAAATATCTCCTGAGACTTAATAGAGTGAAGTTTATTTAGGTCAGTCTATCCTTATTCCATTCTATTCTCCCACTCTGTGGAAGACTAGGCATATATATATATATATATATATATATATATATATATATATATATGCTGCATGCAAGGCAAACGCCCTACCGCTGTGCTATCACTCCAGCCCATATATGTATATATGTGTGTGTATATATATATATACATATATATATATATATCTCCTAAATCCCAATCCACTTTCTTCCATGCCTCTAAAATCTGTCTAGAAACCAAGTGCATACCTTTCTCTTCTGGAAAGAAATCAAGATTGAATGTGAATTTTCTTCTTGCCTCAATGTGATCAAAGACTCAGTCAGGATCTGAGCAGTAGGCCCCCATTTCTTCTTCTCTGTCCGAAAAATTAACCTTTAAGTGCATCCAATTCCTGAATCTGCATATTTATGCGTCTCTCAGCCTTGGGTCTTAGGAGGATCATATATCTATTAACTTGTTTTTAAAGCCTGCTGATGGCATCAGTTCTCTTGGGTGGCCTTGGGGCTAAAACTTATTTCTATAAATAAAGCTTTATTGAAACTCAGCCATAGACATTATATGCCTAGGGCTGGCATAGCAAATTATCACAAACTTGGAGATAAAACATAGAAGAAATTTGTTATCTCATAGTTTGTGGGGACAGAAGCCTCAAATCTTAGTGCTGATAGAACTATGCTCCCTTGAAAGACCCAGTGGGCAAGTTTTACCTTGCCTCTTTTCACTTCTACTGACTGTCAGCATTCTTTGCTGAATAACTATGGAACTGGCTTTCGCCCTCTCTGTGGCCCAAACATCTTTCAGCTTTTCTTTTATAAGGACACTAGCATTTGGATTTAGGATCCATAATAATTCAGGATGATTTATCCCAGTCCTTAGTTTCACCTACAAAGACTCATTCTTCCAAACAAGATCCCATTCACAGAATAGAAATATCTTTCTTTGGGGTGGGTTGCCATTCAACATATTATATCCATCTGTGTTTCATCTATAGGTATGTCTGCAACATCACAATTCAGTAGTTGCTTGACTGGGCACTTGACCCAGAGAACGTGAAATATGTACTATCTGGTTTTCCTTTTATAGAAAAAGTTTGCTGATCCCTGAATTAAACCTAGATCTGTATCACAGCTTTGCTGAATTACTCTCCTTCCCATCAACAACAACACTCCCCCCCCCCCCCACACACACACACACGGTCATAATCTAAGTTGGTATTAGTAGAGCAATAATGAACCATCACCCCTCCAAAGTGTATGTATTATAATGTAAACATGCAAATATGGCTGGTGCATAGCTCAGTGTCTTCACAGTGATGCCATTACTTATTTGTCTTCACAATCATGCCATTACTTACTATTCATGAAAATATGTGTGTTTATTAAAATGATTAAAACCATTGTTCAGCATTAAAAACATTATATAATTTGGTACAAAATTATAGGGAACAAAAAATGTTCTGCTGAAAACTTGAATTTTCCGAAATGTCTTATAGCCTGATGTGAGTACTGTTCACACTTAAGCCAGGGGGCAATTTGAGGAAACCGAGGAGAATATTTGGCCCTAAAATTTCCTCCAAATGTTGCCTCTGCAATCTACAGAGAAATATTGACAGAATGCCCCAGTGCCCTGTCTTGTTAAATATCAGAGCACATCAGAATTCCACAGCTGAATTCCCTGTTGAAAGGCTCTTGAAGAACAAATAAAACAACAGTTTTGAAATTAGGGTTTGCCATTTTAACTCATGATGAACATCAAACAGATCTTCAGAAGTTCTCATGATTCTCATAAAAGTTGAAGTCAGTTGAAGTATTATTAGGCTTAGGAACAGCAGAGACCTACATTACTGGTGAATGCTTGGCCTCATACAGGCATGTTCATTGACATTTACCCTGGCAACGTCCACACCATCCAGGATAGAAACAGATCAAGAATGGAGATAAGGAGTTTGGGGGCTGTCATTAAAATATTTATTATGACATATTTTAGTTATATGTTATTATTATATAAAACTGAATATGTTTTGTTATGGAGAATTTACATCCCTAAAATAAGTAGTAGAAATAAGATGGTCCTTGACCTTCTCTTAATGAGGAAAAATGTCCACATCATCCTCCACAAAGTGAAGGATGCTAGATCTTGCTTTCCTAACAAAAGGGCAACAGCCTGTTGAACTCCATCACCTTGAATGATTTTTCAAAAGTGTGTTGGATTTTTTTATAGGCCTGCGTGGGGTCTTCCAATACAGGGGCTGAGAATCAGCAGGAGCTCAGTGTAGTTTGCCTAATGCCAGATGGTGTTATAGATCAAGTAGCAATTCCATTGTGTGCGGTGTCAGTGTTATTACACACAAGTTCTCCCAAACAGGAAAAGCTCACATCCCAACCCAAAGCAATGCTCCGGTGATTTCAGGTACAGAGCAGAGATAAGACCCTACCCCTAGGAGTATCCGCACAGTAATGTGTGTTCATGACTCTCTCCTTAGGAGCTGAAAGCAAAGGCAAGCATAACCTCGTTGGCACAGATTGGAACTGTATACCCCAAATGACCACCTTTATTGGCGAAGGGGAACAAGAAGCCCAGATCACATACATCGATTCAAAACAGAAGACGGTGGAGATGGCAGAAGGCACCCTCTGCCCCAAAGACCACCGGCACCTGTACTTGGACAGTGGCTACAATCCAGAGGCGCTCAGCCAGCCGCTGGCCCCACCAGGGGAGGCTCCGTGTGAGGCCGACTACCGGGGTCTGGCTCAGCGCTCGCTCTTGACCTTCTCAGGCACAGACACTCTAAAGAAAGCACAGGAGTCTCCGAGAGGAGCTAAAGTGTCCTTTATTTTTGGGGATCTCGCCTTGGATGACAGTCTGACTCCCCCAACTCTAGGCTACGAGCGACTCTTGGAGGAGAACCCAGAGTTGCTGGAGAAGCAGAGGAAGCTCTACATGAGCAGTGCCAACGACATGAAGAACCTGGAGCTCACGCCCGACCCGGAGAGCATCCAGTTTGTGGCAAATTCCGTTTACGCAAACATCGGCGACGTAAAGACCTTCGAGGCCGCTGGGGGCATCGAGGAGCCCCTCCTGCACGACATCTGTTACGCCGAGAACACTGACGATGCCGAGGACGAGGACGAGGTGAGCTGCGAGGAGGACCTGGTGGTGGGAGAGATCAGCCAGCCCGCCCTCCTCAACCTGTCTGGGTCGAGCGACGACATCATCGACCTCACGTCCCTGCCGCCGCCAGAAGGGGGTGACAATGAGGATGACTTCCTGCTGCGCTCCTTGAACATGGCCATCGCCGCCCCACCCCCTGGTTTCCGAGATAGTTCCGATGAGGAAGACTCGCAGAGCCAGGCCGCGGCCCCCCACGACGACAAGGAGCCAGGCGGCAGCCTGCAAAAGGACGACATCCCCGTGTCCCTCATCGACGCCGTGCCCACCAGCTCCGAGGGCAAGTGTGACAAGGGGCTGGAGAGCACTGTGGTCTCCACACTGGATGCCCTGGGAGCACTGGGCGGCTCCGAAGAACAGCAGACCAGGGACAATTCAGGTTCTTTCACGATCGTTACATTTATTCACTGATAACCATGTCATTGCACCCTCACAAAGCCATCCGCCCCCACGCCCCGGGATGTGGTCCTCTCCATCTCACGCATGCCCCATTTCATTCATGTGCTGCAACTCCCCCCGGCGTGGCTTTTTGTGTATCTGGTTTCCTTTGTTGTCGCTGCTGCTGTTGTTTTGAAATACATGGCATGTTTTCTCCCCATTTCCGGAACAACCGCTGCAATAAATTCATAGTCCTTAATGAAAAGGGAAAGACCTGCTCTTTCTTTAAATGCTAGTCGGTCCCATTTGCTTTCGTTTCTGCCAGGCCTCTCACACCCCCCATTAATCACTCGGTTCTTGTTTTTTACGGCATGCAGGTGTGGCCATCCTGAGGGCCTATAGTCCCGAGTCCTCCTCAGACTCAGGCAATGAAACTAACTCTTCCGAAATGACTGAGAGTTCTGAACTGGCCACTGCACAGAAACAGTCAGAAAACCTCTCCCGCATGTTCTTGGCCACTCATGAAGGCTACCAGCCCCTGACCGAAGAGCAGACGGAGTTCCCCACCTCCAAAGCCCCTCCTGGGGGTTTGCCTCCAAAGTCTTCTCACAGCCTGGCCGCCCGCCCGGTGACTGACCTCCCGCCCAAAGTTGTGCCTTCCAAGCAGATCCTTCACTCAGACCACATCGAGATGGAGCCCGAAACGATGGAGACCAAGTCGGTCACAGACTATTTTAGCAAATTGCACATGGGGTCCGCCGTGGTGTACTCCTGCACCAGCAAACGGAAAAGCAAGCTGGCGGATGCAGAGGGAAAGGCGTCCCCTGGCGCGAATATAGCAGGGAAAAAGCAGCAGGGCACCAAGACCCCCGAGACGGAGGAGGAGGCCAAAGGGAAGTGTGGAACCGGGTCTTCTAGAGACAGTCAACACCTAAGCACTTTCAACCTGGAGAGAACTGCCTTCCGCAAGGACAGCCAAAGATGGTACGTGGCCCCTGACGGGGCAGGGACAGAAAAGAGTGGACTGGACGCAGCATCGGGCATTACCTTCCCAAGAGCTTCTGCTCATGGCACAAGGGAGGCTGAAGGGAAGGAAGAAGGCGCTCCTGCTGGGGATGCCAATGACACTGCGGGGCTTGGCCAACGAGACCACTTCTTAACTGATGTGACCTGTGCATCTTCAGCCAAAGACTTAGACACCCGGGAGGATGCAGAGCCGCCTCCCTGTGACCATCCTTCCAAGCTTCCTGAGGCAGAGGAAGGAGTAGCCCGCCTTTGCGACTACCACTTGGCCAAGCGGATGTCGTCGCTCCAAAGCGAGGGCCACTTCTCTCTCCAGAGCTCTCAAGGCTCTTCCGTAGATGCCGGCTGTGGTACTGGCAGCAGCAGCAGCACCTGTGCCACGCCAGTGGAGTCCCCCCTCTGCCCATCCATGGGCAAGCACCTGATGCCAGAGACTGCTGGGAAAGGGGGGACTTACCTGCCTCCTGAGGAGAGAGCTTCCGGGCTGCCCCCCCACGGAGCTACCTTCAAGGACCTGCACCCCCAGACAGAAGGGATGTGTCCGCGGATGACAGTGCCTCCTCTGCACACAGCCATTAATACCGAACCCCTGTTTGGCACTTTGAGAGATGGATGTCATCGACTCCCCAAGATTAAGGAAACCACAGGTACAGCAGTGATGGATGTAGCACTTGATTTGGCAGGAGCATGTAAACCCAACGTAACAAGCAACCTGAAAATAAAGGCTGTGAGAAAATCTTGTTAAAAACCCACAGAACAGTGTCCAAATCAACCATCAGTCACTGACCCCCCCCCCATGCTTAATATTCAATTCTGGAGTTTCTGGAAGTGGTACAAGAGCAAAAATGGCATTTTCTCTTTAGGAATGAATGCCACAGAGCAAATGGCATTGCTCTGTGCTCATATCTGGCATCCCTCGGTGTCGGGAAGAGTTTAGGTGATGAGCTGCCTACTGAGCTTCTTTATTTGCCCCCAGAGTATAAGATATAGGCCCATGTAGAAACAAGATCATGGGGCTGGAATCATAGCACAGTGGGGAAGGCATTTGCCTTGCACATGGCCGACCCAGGTTCAATTCCCAGCATCCCATATGGTCCGCCGAGCACTGCCAGAAGTAATTCCTGAGTGCAGAGCCAGGATTAACCCCTGTGCATCACTGGGTGTGACCCAAAAAAAAGCAAGAAAAAACAAGGAAACAATATCACAGCCACCTTCTGTGCCAGCCTTCACTGTGCTGGGCCCCTATGGAGCAAGACCTTCTCTTGCAGGTCCAGCCAGCCAGCCAGCCAGTGGCAAAGCCAGATGCCGTTTTACACCTTCCTACTTTGGGCAACATGACCCAGAGTATCATTTCCACATCATAGACAGTGAAAGTAGAGAGAGAGCAGTTTCTATTCCTGCCATTTTGGATTATTGCATTTCTCAAAACGCACCCCCCTGGCTTCACCTGCCTTGGATAACTGGTCTGTGAATGTTATTAGATCCATCGTCCAATATCACCCTTAGCCCTAAGTAATTAAATCACACCATGTAAGCTTTTGAAGTGTATGAAGACCCTTTAACCAGGTTACTTCTTGTGCTACCAACAATTCTATGAGATGGATGGAATATATTTTTTTTTGCTTTTGGGGTCACACCCAGCGATGCTCAGGGGTTACTCCTGGCTCTGCACTCAGGAATTACTCCTGGTGGTGCTCAGGGGACCATATGGGATGCCGAGGATCAAACCCAGGTCGGCCTCGTGCAAGGCAAACACCCTCCCTGCTGTGCTATCGCTCTGGCTCAAGATTTACTTTTTCACATAACTTCTCTGAGAAAATAAAATGAGCCTCATCCTCAATCTCTCAACTTCAGACCTTATCCCAGACAAACCTCATAGGTTCCTCTGAAGAAGGTTCTCTTGGGGACCCTGAGAGATAGTACGGGGATTAAGACTCTTACTTATCTTGCATCCCATCAACCCTGGCTCCATCTTCAGCATTGTATCTTGTCCCCTGGGTACGACTAGGACCACCCTTGTACACGCAGCCATGAATACCACCTAGTACGGCTCAAAAATGAACAAACAAGTTAGCATGGGGACCGAGGATGTAACTCAGTGGTAGAGCACTTGCTTGCATGCATATGAAACCCTGGCTTCTATCCCCAATACCACAAAAGGAAAAATGTTCATTTACTTAATTGGCATTCTTTAGGTTACTTCATTGAAAAAGGTAACTCTGGCCAGAATTAACCAAACTCCCTTGAAATGGAATGTAAATTGTCTGGGATAATCTATACCTAGGGTGGGTGTTTTTAAGTGTGTGCCTGAGCTTTCACAGACAAGTCTTAGAAGTACGACAATTCATGTCATTTCATTGTCTCCCTGAAAGTGTTTGGAATTTCTAGACCATTTCAAATGAATCAGGAGTTTAAGCGATAACAGATGCCAGGATTTCTGAAATGTATTGAAATGGAAATTTGTTCTGAGCTCTCAAGAGGCCTGTCATTGGAAAGCAGGTGACTCCCAGAATAGCAACTCTTCTAGAAGGCACCCTTGAGAAGTGACAGGCACTACAGAAAGAGGTCAGGGGAGCTGCCGAGGTGCTTAATAATTCTCTCTGCTTTTCTCCTCCCCCTAGTGTAGCTCTGACAGAGGCTGGGAAGGAGGGACGAGGAGGCATGCCTTCAGCTTGGTCTCAACATCCTAGAGCTGATCTCATCCTGCTACCATCAAACATTCACTTGGAATCAAAAGTGCCAATTCCAAATCAAGACCCTAATGAATTCTCCCAAGCAAATGAGGCATATGCAGAGGCTGTGAGCTGGCGGCCGCTGGATCTGAGATGGGGGAGCCTCCGGACACCCCCCGGCCAGAGGTCTCTGACGCGAAGCAGCAGCATCCTCTTGGGATCTGTCAGTTTGGAGAACTTCCATGAGAGAACCCAGGCTGCCGTCGGCTTCAAGTGTCCAGCCATCACAGGAGTGCAGGAAGCCAGCTCAGAGCGGCGAGCAGAGCTCCCTCTGGGACAGAAGCTCAGCAAAAGTTTTTCCCAAAGCTCCATTCACATTAGCTGTGAGGGGAAGGTTCCCAAGAGGCCACCGGGGGCTCAGAGAGACTCAAAGCTTTACCGGACATTACCCTTACGCAAGCTGGATGGCAGCAGTTGGAGATGCCGGGGACCTTTCAGCTACTGCTTCCTGAATCCAGGACAAGAGGAAGATGGTGATGAGGAAGATGGTGATGAGGATGAGGAGAAGGATGAGGAGAAGGAGGGGAGAGAGGCCACCCGCCAGGTATCCTGCCTCTACCGCCCACAGTTGACTCAAGCCAACACCCAACTCACCAGCCCGCCCCTGGCTGTTGGAAGTCCGAAACCAGGCGCCCAGCAGCCAGGAGGTCCAGTGCCCAAGGCCTGGGTAGAAGCCCCAAGGGGCCCAGATGACATGGACTTCAGCAGCCTGGCCTTTGATGCACAGATTGCACGCATCAATGCCCTCAAGGAGAGCACATATGCAATGCCTGATGGGTTCCTCGCAGCCCAGAATGATGCCAATGAGCTGCTCTGCCTTGTCAGGGCTACCAAGGGGAAGCGAGATCCGCCCCACCCTGACACGTTAGACCTGACGCTTTCTCAGTACAAGCAGCTGTTAGCCATCGAGTCCAGACAGTTGGGAAGTGCCTGCAGGAAGATGGCGGTGGCCGAGAAAAGCCCGGAGGAGATGCTTCTGGCGATGACTTCCAGCTTTCAAGTGCTCTGTTGCCTAACAGAAGCGTGCATGCGATTAGTTAAAGTCGTGAACTCCGAAGCGCAGCGGCAGGAAATCGTGATGAAGATCAACGAGGTGGTCATCAACTACATTTGCCTCCTGAAAGCTGCCGAGGCAGCCACCGGAAAGACTCCTGGGGATGTCGAGGTTGGACTCTCGACGCGACATTCAGTCACCATGGCCGCGCTCGTAAGCACACTAACCCGTTCTCTCAAGATGCTTTTAAATAAATGAAGTCCGAAAGTCACGTCGTCATAATCTACCTTTGCAAAGCCATACATGAATTTTTATTTCCCTTCTGTGTACGATGAACAGATGTCTCCTTTCTTCTCTCTGTATATTTTGTTATTTTATATAAACTAGGAGATAAAAGTCACACTGATGAAATGTTGAAATGTACTAATCAAGATGTATTCTGTTTATAGTATAGATATATATATATACACACACACGTGAAAGGAATTTACAAGAAAGTGATGCCATGTGGCTATTTTTCAGACCTGTCAAAACCACAGGTCGCTGCTGTGAAATTCTGTTGTGTTCACGCAAAATACTGAATCCTATCCCCTCTCCTCTCAAGCAGATCCTTGGAAACTATATATTCGTATATTTAGAAGTCAAGAAAGAAAGAAATCACAGTGTATCCAAAACACTACTAATGTTTTAAAATTATGATTTTTAGCACTGGAAATAGCAGAACAACATTTAAAATTCAAGACGCTATTGTGAATGATTCGAGAACATATATAATAAATAAATTTTGGGCTCCTAGTCGTTGGTCATCTGATGCTTTCTTCCAAGAATCCTACCTAGTTAATGCTCACATATGTCATTTGGGCTAGAAAGGGGTGGAGATGGATTCTGCTGTGTCAACACAAATGTTCTTTAGGATTTTTATGATAGAACGGAAGTACTTCCCATCTAGAACAGAAAGAAGGATGGCAGGTTCCTAGTTCTAGCTTATTTAGTTACATAAATGGCAAGAGTGAGTGATACCAAAATTCAGTTGTTTGATGAAAGGAGAGATCTGCTTTGACTAAATGTCAAAATATATAAACCAAAGACCTTACCTCCCTCCCCCACTCCACCCTGGAACTTAGAATTCCCTTAAGAGTGACAGAACATTTAGTAAAGCACCTGTAAACTTGCAGAAAGTAACACTTGACGATCATGAAAAGTTTGTTTAGATGTAGTCATACGAAGCCAACACACACCAGCCTGCGAGCTCCAGCTCAGCTCCCAGCTCTCAGCATAGAGCCTCATGCCGCCCCCTCCTCTACAGGAACCCAGGCTGCCAAGCAAATCTGCAATTACAAGCTTAACATTGGAACACAATCTCAAATCTGGAATGTGCCAGAAAATCAGGAAGAGATGGCCACTCTAATATAGAAGCCGTGGCTAACTTAAAATAGTAAAGTCTGTCAAATGTTCAATCTGATAGAAATACGAAAGCTAGAAAAACAAAACAAAACAAAACTCCGAAGTGGTCAGTTTGACCACGGCTGGAGTACAAAGACGTTTTCAGAACTGACGTCGCACTAAAAAGTACCTGGACACAGCAAAAAGACACAAGCTCTGCAGTTTTAAAATAAAATTGACACGTACACAAGTACTGCTTGGGCTAATCAGTGCCCACGCACTATTTATACTATTTATGGGATTACACGGCGCCAGGGGGCCAGGTGGTGGGTGTGAGCATCCAACACTCCTACTTCTCTATATAGGTGGTTCCTTTTCAGGAGGGTGCCAGGTACAAGTATTTCATTTTTGTAGGCTACTGGGCAGGAGCCCTAACAGTCCACAGTTGCTCTCTCTTTCATCAGTTGTTCCATAGAGACTCAATAACAGAAACCACACGTATTTATAGGTGATAGCAAACAAAAGGAGTTAGATTGTATTATAAACAATGTTTAAACAATGAACTATTTTATTATAATGATAAATATTGGTGTGATATTGAGAAATATAAATGGTGTGTACTGTGGAAATTTTTTGGTAAATATTATTCTGTGTACTAAAATACTAACAATAGGATGTGTGTTCTATGTCAGATAATGTGCTAAACATCACACATATATTATCTCATTTAACCATCCTAACAATCTTATGGTTTGAACACTATCATTATATCTCTATGTAGACAATATGGTTTGGTAGTTAAAGACATGGGGCCTGGGGTCAGAAACTTCTTGGTTTAAATTTGGACTCTGCCATTTTCTAGCCCTTTCATCTTGGAAAAGCTAATACATATTTTTCTAAGTTTCAATTTCCTCATTGTAAAATGGACATCAATAGTAGCATCTATTTCCTTAGGGTAGTCATGAGTTTTAAATAATGCTTAAGTACATCTGTAAAGATCATATCATAATACCTGGCAGAGAGTAAGTACTCAATGTTAGATATTACTGTCATAAGCATTATGTTCAATATATTGCCCAAGATCATGTGTGGGGGATGTTTGTTTTCTATGCATATTGTATCCTGCCTCTTTGTACAGAATACATTATGTGTACTGCATATGTATAAACAAAGTGTACAAGGAAGTGATGATTCATGTTCAAATCACATATCCAGTTAGAACAACTTCCCAGTTCATTCCAGTTCTTTGCAAAGCTCTGAAGTAGCTCTGGCTCTTTCTAATCAATTTCCCATGACCTATGGGCTGTTCCAGTAAGTTTCTGTTTCTTGTAAGTGGACTCTTTGCTACTTAGAAAACTCAAGGGACCCCATTCATGAAGTTTTGGGCTCCTAAAGTGGGGTCCAGGTTGCCTGGAGTGTAGGAAGAATGTATTAGAATGAGCCTTGTGTTTATTTTTATCTAGCCTTTTTTATGTTTGTGTATGTTTTATAATGGCATAAAAGTACAGTGGTATATGTACATCATTTTAAATAAATAAATAAATAAGCATATGCCTGGTGCATGGATGCAAAAATTTTGTCTCAGGTAGGGTTACATTCATTCAACTTTGGAGACCGCCAAACTAGAGAAAGAAACTTTCTAACACTCACGGTCCTTTACATTCTGTTCCCAGCCTGCTTTTCAAAGTGTATCACCCATGGTTTTTCTTCATCTTTGATTACAAAACTTCCATAGCCAAGAGTAAAAATAATCATAAAATTAACCAGTTCATGCGTACTCCCCACACACTAGTTCACATCCAGTCTTATTCTCTAGTCTCCAGAATTCCTTCCACATGCTATGTAGAAACAAACCCCACACATATCATTTAATCTGGGAGGATTTTAGCAAGAAATTCCTACAGAAAGAAAACTCTGAGTATAATCACGTCATTTTCACACTTTTGAAAATTGATAATTCCCTCATCAAGTACAACAGAAATGATGAAGAAAATGAAAGTTCCCTTAAACCCAGCCCCCAAATACAGTCCTTGTTCAACAATTTAAGATATCTTTCAACTTTATATGTATATACATATATATCATTATTATTATCATGTTTAAATTTTAACTCACAGAGTTCATCAGACTTGTGTTCTAATGGCTTTTGCCATTCTCCCTCGGAATCAGTTCCACTACACAGTATATTATATGTACATGAATTGGCCAGAAGGAAAAATATTAATGTAGAAAGACTGCTCAGGTGATCAACCACCACACCATTATGCTTATAATGAAATCCAACTACTGATGTGATTGCCTTGGACACTATAATGAACACAACCCCCGGCTCCAGTGGAAATGACTGCAGTCACAAAAGAAGTTCTCCAGAAAAGAAAGACTGAGAATCTTGAAATGACCAGCTAGAACAACACTGCAATCGATCAATTCCTTTTACTGTAAATGTCATCTATCATTATTGTTTGATTTTTGAAAGAGAAGCTTCAATTTGTGTTCCTCTTTCATGTGTTCCTAGATGCCAATTATTCTCTCAATGTGACTTCTGAGCTAACTCAGAGTGTCACTCTCCTCATTCCCCTGCACCGTTATTGATTTGGCAATGAGAGAAATTTGCTCTCTTTGGTTATCACCCTTAATAATTGTCAACTATTTGGCATTGATCCAAACAAGCAAATTGGCTATGTTCAGATGATTCCCTCTCTTTCTTACATCTATAAATCATCACAGAGATTCAAAATACAAGGATATTACATTGTTTCTAATTTAATATATTTACTTTGAAAGTAGTTGATTTGGGAATGTATATGTGGTATGTTTAGATGCGGGAGGTGTGGGAAGTATATAGGTGTATGCGCGCATGCAAGTGTGGGTGTGTGGGTGTGGTTTCATTAACGTTAAGGATTTCAGTGCTAGTTTCTTCTCTGGAAGGCCAAATCACTGTATCACTGTCATCCTGTTGTTCATCAATTGCCTTGAGCAGGCCCCATTAACGTTCTTCGTCCTAGCCCTGAGATTTTAAAAAGTGCCATATTCGAGGATCTTTCAGGGTCAGGAGAATGAGACCAATCGTTGTCACTGGTTTTTGGTAATATTGACTACAACATGGGGAGTTTGCCAGACTCTGCTGTGTGGGCAGGATACTTTTGGTAGCCTGCCAGGTTCTCCAGAGTAGAGAATTAGATGATAAGATGTTGCACGGCTGCAAATGCAGCCACGTGCTTCCGGGAGCAGGGTTTCATAGTGTCTGGGTCTTGGCCATTGATGGGATTACACAGCGCCGGGGGCAGTTGGTGGGTGTAACGCCTACATACTGGAAGATGGGGATCTGAGTGGAGGAGGCCCCAGTCCCAATCCTAGCAGGCTTGGAGATCTACGCCCCGGGTCCCGTACACCTGGGTTCCTCTGCTGGTTCCTTCATGTGTGAGGCTTGTCTGAATGTGTGGATAGTGGTCTTAAACATGCCTGTGGCTGGAACCAGAGGTCCTCAGCTGCAGAGGCTCTGCTTGGGGTACAGAGAGAAACTCAACTCACCATCCTCCAAGGGGCCCCGGTGAGGACAGCCAAGCATGGAGGCAGGAGACTCTGCGCTGTTCTCTTCCGGGAGCAGAGTTTTATAGTCTCTGGGTCTTGGCCGTTGATGGGATTACACAGTGCCGGGGGCAGGCCAAAAGCCAACGATAAAATGTTCTCTTTGTGACTTCCTTTAAAGTTTGATTGTAGGACTAACTTCTCAACTGTGAAGCAGCAATTTGAACTGAATTTTCATTCATAACAGCTTGAACACCACTAAGTTGGGTATTTTTAGTTATTCCACTTAGTCCTTCGCCTACCCATATCATGTTTTAATTTCAAAACTTATATGTAGGAAATTCACGGAAAAAAAACTATCTGTTTATTAAATGTTTCTGCAGCACAAAATAATGGAATTAGTGAAATCCTGCATTACTGACCAATTGTCCCAGGGAGCTTATTTCACCGTTAGCTGTAATGTGAATGTATTGTCTTCAGTTGAACTTTGCTTCATCTGCATTTATAATCGCATCTTCATTTTCTGTTAAGTATTTCAAAGCATTAGAGCATTTGTTTTTGTTGTCATTGTTGTTTTATTCTCCCAGTTAATTGTCACTTTCCTTCCTACAGTCTGGATCAAAATTCAATGTCATTTGTGGTGTCATCATTCACATTAGGCAAAATTAGCTTTGGCAGTGGATATAAGCAAGATTCGGGAAGCTGGGCCTCTTGGTAACTTCTGACCAGGTAACATTTCCCTGGCTTTCATTTTGATTTGTCTATCTCACTTGTTCAAAAGATAGGATAAGTCTATTCATTAATCCAATGAAGAGCTATAGGCACCTGC